TAGTTTGCTTAGAACCGTTACTGATTCTTCTTGGAGCTTACCATATTTCTATAGGTATTCCGTCAATTCCTATAATCTTCTGACTCAGTAAAGATTAGTTAAAGGGTCCCAAAGGTGCTTTTTCAAGAGGCAACTAGACTTTCTTGTTTTTCTTTGAAGACGTTTTGCTTCTCATCCAAGAAGCTCCTTCAGCTCTGACTGGATGGTGGGGAATGGAAGGATTGTTAAATCTTAGTTAAAGGGCCGATCTAACTTTATCTTCTAGTACTAGAGGTACTTGTAAGTAGAGAACATCTTCTTAAGTATCATGGATGTTGACATCTCTCCTGTATGGAATTTCAATGTATTCCTTTCATCTTCGTTTGATCTCCTTGGGATTAGTTACTATATGTCTACTGGCATCCTTTAGCATACCAATAGGAGGCTGAAACCTCCTTCTGAGTTAAGAGGAATTTTGGAAGACCTTCCTTCTTTTTTCCATGTCTGTTTCCCTCTTCAGTGTCTTTTCAGATGTTGTTGTAATACTGTGTTTTGTCTTTCCTAATAGCTTTTTGAAATTCTTTGTTAAGTTCCTTCCTGAGATCTTGGCTTTGGCTTCATTGCTGCCCAATATAAAGGCCTGTTTGCTTTAGTTGGGCAGCTGGGATGACCTTCATGCCTTCATGTGACCCTGCTGGGAGCACATACATAGCATACACTCCCAGAATTCAATACTCATCCTACCCAGGAACACATATAACCTAGCTGTGATGAGGCACCACAGCAGGACTTATGGGGAGAGGGGGAATGTGTTTCAGTAAAGAATGTGAATAGTAGGTCTGAAATAAATAGGGACACAGGTTGTCCTCAACATACAGTCATTTAACCATTGGCCCTTGGAAGTTGGCCCTCAGAAGGGATGGTTTATAGCTTGCAAAGCATTTCTGACCATTGTAAAATGTTACACCCTGCCTTCCCCCCCCCCCCCAGCCACATGACTATATTTTGGGTGTTTGGCTACCAGCTCACATTTACGACTAACGACATCGCATGACGGTTGATTTGTGCTGTTTTTTTTTTTACTGATTTCTGACCAAAAAAAGCCATTGAAAAAATGGATTCAGACTTACAACTACATGATTCATTTAATGACCGCTTTAAAAACAATAATAAAATCTGGTCCAGTCATGTGGGTGCCTCAACGTAAGTCTTTCATGACTTACAATTGAAATTCACTCTTAGTTGTGGAGATGGGAGGGAGGGAGGGAGGGAGAGAGAGAGAGAATTCAATGCTCCATTTTCCAGGATGTGTTTGGCACTTAAAAGCCATTGCCCTTTCTGATTCCTTTCCTGTATTTTTAAAATTCCACTTATTTCATTATTTCAGCCCAATTTTGCAAGGGCAGGGTAGGGGGAGTTGTGAGGTTTGTTTTGCCCTGGACCACTCAGTAGCTAATAACTGAGGTGGGATTAGAACCAGCATGTGGTGCAGGTGCAATTGCATTGCCTTTATTTGTACTGTACTGTGCAGGGGGGTTGTAAGGGAGCCACAACCAATATCTCAATGGCTATTGGACAACTTGAGAATAAGAGGCTGTGCCAGGGGTAGGCAACCTTGGCTCTTTTATGACTTGTGGACTTCAACTCCCAGAATTCCCCATGCTGACTCAGGAATTCTGGGAGTCGAAGTCCACAAGTCATAAAAGAGCCAAGGTTGCCTACCCCTGGGCTATGTATAGACAACATATCTGGATGAAACTACACTCTGTGTGCGTGTGTGAGAGACAGAATGCTGCGTTTCAAGGGGCAGACTAGATTTGGGAATGTATGGTGGATTGAATTTCATGGGACAGGATATAAAGGGGTCAACTATGTCCAGAGCAATGCTTCCTCTAAGAAGCAGATGTACAAGTTATGATGTATTGTCTGCAACCATTGGGTTGACCTGGACAAACCTGGACTGGATGGGGGGGGGGTTGGAGACAACAAGCCTGGACTGGAGAGGGTGGCGGCTAATTGTTTTTATATACTTTGCATGTTTAAGCTCTCCAAATTATAAAAAAAAATGAAGTTACCTATTTTGATTCAACCCAAAATCTAATTGTTGTATAAAATGCACAAAGGATATTTAAAAAGTAAGTTAAACAGGCATAACTGAGTTTAATATTGTGTTTTAATCAATTTCATCCCTGATTTATTATTTTGAAACGGAAAACTTTTAAAAAATGACAGATTACGGATCTACTGCAATGCTGGCTTCAGCCTAGCTCCCAGGGGCAAAGCCCCTCTCCTTTGTTTCTCCTTTGCTTCTTCCCCTTTGCTTTCCCACTGCTGCTCAATACGTTTTTGGGCCTGGAAGTTGGCAAAGGCTCTGCAGATTTCCGCTAAGCTGGATGAGAAGTTTCTTCTCCTCACTATCCCTTGCCTTTTTTCCCCCTTTCTCTCTCCTTTCTCTGCTTACCCATTTGTAAAAACATATTTCCCTAGAGCAGGGGTAGACAACCTCGGCTTTTTTATGACTCATGGACTTCAACTCCCAGAATTCCTGAGCCAGCTATGCTGGCTCAGGAATTCTGGGAGTTGAAGTCCATGAGTCATAAAAGAGCCGAGGTTGCCTACCCCTGCCCTAGAGTGTCATCTATGACAGTGAGTGGAAGACTTAAGTCCCGCATGCAAGTGTGTGCAGCGGCCTCTGCACTCAAGCCACAGCTTTAGAGGGAACATTGATACAAAGATAATTATAAGGTCATAAAGGAATTTACAGGTTAGGCAATGATAGAGATAGAGAACTACATACATGAAGGGGAGAGGAGGGCTGGGATGAAGGAGGCCTGCTGCATTTTCTTTTGAGGGTTGTAAAGACCTCAGGTCTGAATGCTCCTTGACAAAAGCTGGCTGTTGCAAGAGAACCGATTCTACAGCTTCCGAGAAATCTTCTTGATTCTCACTATCTCTTTGCTCAGCCTATGGTAATGAGCTCCAGGAACACCAGCCTGGGCATATATGAGCCCTCCAGATTTGACTTGACCACTTCATAGTGTCCAGAAAGGGACTTTCCTAGCTAATGCCTAAGCTCCCATCTCCAGCCCAGCTGTGGGGAGTGTCTTTGGCCATGCTGTGTAAACCACATCCCCATACTCATCACTCAGGCATCCCAGTGGGATTAGCTAGGGAGCGTGGGCTGGCTTAAAGTGAGAACTTCCTGCTTCTTAGTTGGATGCTTCATCAGGCACTCACCCACGTCAAATACCTAGGGATCATGACTAAAAATCCAGGCCCATTGCCATAGATAGTACAGGGCTTTATTAGCAGCCTCTATAAGACCCCTCATATAATCACAAGGGTAACTGTTTTAGCCCCCTTTTTAGCAGGGTCACACATTTTTAACAACGTTGTGACAAGTAGAAATTTAGGGGTGTTCCCAGCATGTAAAGAACACTGCCTGCTTGTTGTGCTGATGCTGAAGTCATAGAAACCATATCAAACTTAGGACATACCCATTCACACTTAATACATATTTTAATAACTATGGGTCTGGAAAGTTTTTAACCTAGTATGGCACATTAGAAGTGAAGAAAGCACAGAAAAATTGGGGAAAGTTTTCCCTCCAGCTGTTGTTATACAAGATAGATATAATAGTGATTAATTGATGCTGGAGACCCAGATGACATCTGTAAATTATAGATATTTCTTAGTTTGTGATTGTTCTGAAAATCACAAACTGAAAAAAAAACAAAACCCTTTCATAGGCAGTTTACTTGCATGAGTAAAGTAATACAGGTGTATATCACATCACTTATTCTTTTCCACGAACTTCATTCACTTCCCCAAAGGTACTAGCCAATCTCACATGAGTTCAGTGTTCCCACCTTACCTTACTCACAGAAGAATAAATGTCTTTGCACAGCAATAGTGTTGCAGCCTCCGCTGTCTTTCAGAACTAATTGTCAGGCATCTCATTAATATGTTGAAAAGATACATAAGTGATTGAAACAATAACTACGGAATCAGGCAAGGGCCACTTGCCAAGAAATCTGGAAGACTCTTTGTCTTTAAGTGAAGAGTTTCAGTAATTCAAAATATTGAAGGATGGGACACCACCACCCCCTCCATTTCTGTGAGGCATGTATGTGATGTAGAGTTTTTATATTGTGGCTTTGTGTTTGTTTGTTTTTTTTGCATTTAGGTTTATGATGCACTTGTAATTTTTGAATATATCTTGTGGAGAACTTGGTTCCCTCTAATTCATTTTCCCAGGACTGATTTTTTTTTCATTCTGGAATGGCAGTGGAAGAACTCAATATGCTTGTGCATGAGTTGTTCTCATTAGCCCGCCCTCCAGGACTCATGCATTAGTGTTGAAACGCCTGGTGTTGAGTTGAAGTGTGATTGCTGACAAGGTTACAGGCGTGTATTCTAAAGGGTTCTTTGCTCCTTACTCACATTTTAGTCTCAGTGGACTTACATATGTACAATCACTTGTTTTCTGATAAGTATGTATGTACAGCTATTACTAGAAAATGACGCCTCTATCCTTTGCTTTAATGGGAATGTGGCACACTTGGAAGATTTAGCCAGCTCGAGACTCTGAGAGGTCTTCAGTGGGCCCTAATATTAATGCCAACTCCTTCCCCAAAGCTAACAGCAACCAGATAATATGTGCCCCTCAGAGTTGCCAGATTGAGTGGCAAACTGTTTATACTTCTAGAGACTCTGTGTGGGGGCATGTAGGAGGGCTATACATCTGCTGAACGTATTTTTCCCCTCCTGCTAACCCAGTGCCTGAAACAAACATAATTTTTGATCGAATGAAATCAGCGACTTCTAAGCAAAAGTATCAGTGATGCTATTATATATATTTTTTGCTCAGAGAGGAATGTTCATATATTTGATTTGCAAAATATTGCAGGAGTAGGGTTTTAAAAATCAGAATTAAATGTGCACAATTACGAGGAGATTGCTAAGCATCATCCGTCCATTTATAGGCTGACACTGTCTTTCCTTCTTTGTGCACCCAGCAGGAAGTGGGTTGATGGGAAACTCACCTGCCTCATCCTTTATGGGCAGCTTTCTGAGCAGCAGTTTGGGCTCAGCAGCACCTCCGCATCCTTCAGGACCGGCATCCTCCCCATCTGAACCTCCCTTCCATGGCCCCCACTCTGGCACCTCTCAGATTTGGTTCTCACATTCACATGAAGGTAAGGAGGATTGGTGGAGACGCTTGGGTGAGATGGTATCATTTCTAAATAAGGGTGTTCTTAGAGGTGCCCTTTAATAGACAGATGGGCAGAGTATGAAGGTGCAAGACCTTAAGATGCCTGATACTGCAGATATTGTCTGACCGTCTTCACGTCACTGGCACAGTCTAAAAGTTGTTAAATCAGCTGAACTTTTTCAATATTCTGTGCAGGTAGAATAATAGAAGATATATAGCCCCGATCTGCAGTGGCAGAGGAGATCTCATTAATTTGCCCTACAAGCATGCTGGTAGTTCCCCATTGTTCTACAGTTTTCTTAGAAAAAAAGACTCTGCAGACAGGAGAATTCAGGTGTAAGAATTCTCAGTTGCTTGGCATTCTGGCTGTTGTTAGATAGCAAGAAGAAGATACGACGGGATGAGGGAAAGCTGTGGATTGAAGTAGAAATAAAAATGACTTGACAAATCGGCACCCTGAGGCATTTTGATATGGTGGATGGGTAAGAGACCCTCTGATTTTGGAGTCTTTTCTTCCCCATCCCCCTGACCATGTCATGTCAGGAAACAGCTCCATTTAACTTCACACAGCCTGGACTTAGAGCTGTTTTTTCTGATTTATGCTGGCAGCACACTGCAGAGAGGGAGGGGGTCGGTTGGCTAGGGAATCCAGGGAATTACCCGCAGTTTCTCCTTTATTGTTGAGGCACTTTCTTTTTTTCCTTTTCTGTTTTAGCTTCAGGAACCCTGAAAGTATTTCAAAAAGCTCTCTCTTCTCTCTCCTGTTTCTTAGAGGACCCTTGGGCCAAGTGTTTGGACTTGGAGAATGAATGTGCAGCAGGTCTGACCTATGCAATAGATAGATGGATGCCTTGTCCCCACCCCTCACGCTGTTGCCAGCCCTCACTTCCCCCTTGAACCTTCCTGTGGTTGTTCTGGGCCCGAACCTCCTTTTCCACAGCTCAGCCAATGTTCTTCAGGCTGTCCCCAAATGCAGTTACGTTGTCATGTCACCCTCTGCTTATCAGTGGAACTTTTTCTCCATTTACTTTAGCCATGCCACTCATCCCTAAGGCAGCCTGCCTCCCTCCCCACCCTCACCCTTTGGACTGCCAAGCCACAGGTCTTTCTGATCGCCCCAATCCCACCCAACAACCCCCACCCTTCCCGCCCTTCCCGCTGTGCTGAGCTGGTGGCCACACAACTATTTTTAGTTTTCTTAATGCACTTGTGCTTTCTCTCCCCTGCAGTGGCAGCCTCTTGTCGTGCCCTTCCCCCAGCGCTTTTCCCTTCTTGCAAGATGCAGAAAGTTAAAGTGTGAGCGGCAAGGTGCTGCTGGCACTGTGCCCTGGCAGCCAGCCCGACTGCTAGCTTGAACGGCTGCCAGCTAGCTTCCGGCATGTCGGGTCTGTTGGGGGCGGGGTGCAGGCGATGCTGTCAGCGTGATGCTGACGGGCAGCCGGTCTAATGGGGGTGGAGCAGTATTGCTACTAGCTATGGGGAGCAGCCCGCTTATTGGGGAGATTAGTCCGGCAGGCCAGGGCTAGGGAAGGCTGCCTTCATCCTGTCTAGGAAGGAAGGACTTGGATTGATGCTCCTGTCCTCATGGCCGTTGTTTGGCCTTTAGCCTGGGAAGCTCTGAGTCATGATGGGAGGGGAGGGTGAGGGGAGGAAGAGCTGTTTCTCTGGATTCAGCTACAGCAGGGGTAGTCAACCTTGGCTCTTTTATGACTCGTGGACTTCAATTCCCAGAATTCCTGAGCCAGCTTAGCTGGCTTAGCTTAGCTGGCTCAGGAATTCTGGGAGTTGAAGTCCACGAGTCATAAAAGAGCCAAGGTTGACTACCCCTGAGCTACAGTATACTATCTCCGAGAGGATGAGGATCATGCTCACTGTCTGATTGCTCATCTGTGCAGTGCACCTTTTTTGTGTTGAGGATATATGTGCATGTACATGCATATCCAAGCATGTACACCTGGGCACGTTTGGTATATATTCATTTTCTTTCTACATGCTTCATACTATTAGGAAGACAAGGTGATGTTTTTTTAAAAAAAATATAATTCAGCATCTTTAAAAAGTAATACTATTTTCCAGTCTCTCTCAATAATGTAGTGTTCTTCAAATGAATGAAATAAATAACAGGTTTCTTGGGGAATTTATTATTATTATTATTATTATTATTATTATTATTTCTATTGTTTCTAGTTTAATTTTACTAATCTCAATCAACCTTTCTTTCTTTTTTTGTTTTCTTAAGCCAGTCCTATCATTTGGTATCTTTTTAAAATGTTCAGCAAGAGGTAATTTCATTTTTTGAACTGATATAGCAGCAACCCTTTCCCTATCCTTTTGGTTGTAGGGGTTCTGGTTGTTGTTGTTGTTGTTGTTTGCTTGTTCCTTTTTAAAATGAGCCTTGTTGTGTTGATCTTTACCGTGCCAGGCAAATCAGTAATTCCCCTACTTTTGCAAACTGGGGTATGAAGCTGACTTGCCTCTTTTTGCTGAAGCAACTAGACCTGAACTTGCTCAGGAAGTCTTGGAATGGCTGAGTGGTCTCAGTCCCTTTACACACAACACACCTCTAATGCTGGGATGATGCTCTAATAGTGCAGTTGCAGCTAGGCTGCCATATTGACATTTTTTTTGGAAGCCCCCTCCCCTGGACAGCCCTGATCAAAAGCCTATTTTTGAGACTAGAATGGGCAATTGTAGTAATACCTATTTTAGAGGTTTTTCTTTTTACTATTCCTTGTTTTTCTCCAAATAAAAACTGGAAACATTTGACTTAGAACTAGAACTAGACTGTGGGAAGCCAAGAAGATAGACTCTAATAAGGGCAGTGGTGTCAGTGGTTATGTAGATTTTAATCTGTTTCTGCTAGAGTACCCAGGCATGGAATAAGATTATGCAAGCCAGATTCTTTCCACTTTCTAACCATAGCCATTTCTAGACTATGCCAGGAACTCAGAGCAGCAACTGCAATGGCTAGATTAGGATCATCAGTCCTTCTATTGTTCTTTGCTTGTGGTGCTCTTCACCCTCATGTGCATACCCTTGCTAATAAGGCTGTCCTCACTTCAACCCTTACCAAAGCATTAAAAGGTTATTTGAGAATGTGATGTTTTCAAGAACAGCAGATTGATGCAAATATATAGCTAAGCATAATATTATTGTGTCTGCAGAATTTTAGTCATCCGGGTGCAGAATTTTGATATATTCGGCATAACAGCCCCAGTCCCGTTAGCCTATGTCAGTGATGGCGAACCTTTTAGAGACCGAGTGCCCAAACTGCAACCCAAAACCCACTTATGTATCATTGGGTGCTGGGTGGGCGTGGCCCATTGAGTGGGTGTGGTGCATTGGGTGGGCATGGCTGCGGTGGTAACGGCAGACTGGGTGGGACTAAAAAATTCAATCAATCAATTCCAACTTTGCGAGATCTTGTTTTTCCCACGAGAAGTTGAAATTGATTGATTGAACCTTTTTTTTTTTTTTTTGCACACGGCGTAGGAGGCCTAAAGTGAAAAGGTTTTATAAAACCCAGCTGAAGGCCTAGGACTGGGGCAACGGCGTGCGTGCCCACAGAGAGGGCTCTTTGTGCCACCTGTGCCACAGGTTCGTCACCACGGGCCTATGTTTTTTCTTTCACAATTTTCTACAGAATCCTGGAGCTGATATTCAAGAGCTGCTTCCTCAATTTTACAAAGAAGCCAGAGATCAATATCCATTAAGGGTTTCTTATGATAGCAATAGCACTTAGACTTATATACCACTTCACAGTGCCTTTACAGCCCTGTCTAAGTGTTTTACACAGTCAGCTTATTGCCCCCAACAATCTGGGTCCTCATTTTACCAACCTCAGAAGGATGGAAGGCTGAGTCAATCTTAAGCCGATGAGACTTGAACTGCTGGCAGCTGGCAGTCAGCAGAATTAGCCTGCAGTATTGCTTTCTAACCACTGCGCCACCATGGCTCTTAATCAGGGAATAATGGGTTTTGTTCCCTCCATTTGTAGCTGTTGTTCCAGGCGTCTTTTTTTTTTTTTTTTTGCCAGATATGCTTTGTGAGAAACTTCTGTCAAACTAGCATCAGAGAGTTTTTTGGTTCAGTACCAACACTGTTAGCTATGGTCCATCCCATAGCTGGCTACTGTGCGAAACCTAGCAGTGACTAATATAGCCAAAGTAATAATCTGACAAAGGACTTTGAATTCACCCCAGCAATCCTCTTTCAACCTATGTAAAGAGACAGATCAGACTAAGGCCCAGTGACTTGGCTTTGTGACTGTTGTGATGTGACATGGTCCTGTCATTCCTCAATGCCTCTTGTTTTAGCTCCAGGTTACCCGAGGTTCTCTGGGAGCTTAGCATCCACTTTTCTTCCCATGAGCCATTTGGATCACCATGGAAACAACAATGTCCTGTATGGCCAGCATCGTTTCTATGAAAGCCAGAAAGGCAAGTATTGGTTTGACTATGTGATATTTCTGACTCTGCCTCAAGGGACAGGAGAACCATGGTGTAATTGTTATCTTACTAAGGACACAGATTTAGGGGGCAGCTGCGGAGAGAAGGTAGAGGAAATGAGGCAAAACTGACTTTTCTGGAATTGAAGTGTATCTGATAGCCAGCTTCAAGTCCACTAAGACTTGCGGGTGGGCACCTGACATTTCACTAGATCAGTCACTGCTTTGTAAATGTCCCTTTGCAAACTGGAGAGCTTTTATTTCCAGCGTGACTTGGTGCCACAAGGCGTGGGCAATTAGAGCTGCTGGGCTATTCTTAGGACTGTGATGGTTGCATGTTGTGATCTAGGCCACATTGTTGTCTGGGAGAATTTTCTTAACCGCTTTCCCTCTTTCTGCAGACAATTTCTACCTGCGGAACCTTCCGGCTCAACCTACACTGCTTTCAACCAATCACAATTTCCCCAGCATTGCCCGGGCAGCACCAGGGCATCCGATTGGCTCCTGCAGCCGAGACCGGGAGGTTGGGCATGGACAGAAGTGGCACAAAGACTATGAGCGCTGTGTGGTGTCGAAGGAGAAAGGCACCAAGAGTGAGAGCAAGGAGCGAGCGGCTGAAGAGGAGGCCAAGGAGCGGCACAAGCTGGTGATGCCTATGACACCAGAAACAAACTGCAAGGAAGGGGCTCTCCAGCGGGGCTCTTGTGACAACCGGCCCAAACACCTGCCCTCGTGCCTGCTGAGCTCCAAGGTACTGAATGGTGATTCAGGCAAAGCTGTCCTCCCCAGTTGTGGCGGAGGCCTTCTGTCACGCCATGCTGTTGCCCAGAGCCGTTGTGCCAAGGACCTGGGCCACCATGAGCCTCCTCAGTCCTACAGTGAGTGCCTGGAGCGAAGACAAATGTTGCACCATTCGGTCTCCTACACTGTCCCGTCCAGTCTGCCTGCTGGGCCCCCTGCCCTGAGCACGACAACAGGCAGCTTCCCCTGCCTGCAGCTTCATTCCAGCCCAGATGGGATGTGTCCTCTGCAGGACAAGGCGAGCCGGGAGCTACGGATCAGCGGGGCCACTTTTGTGCCTTCGGTAGGACACTTGACTGACAAGAGCCGCTCCTTTCAGGTCCCTTCAGAGCCCTGTGAGGGCAAAGAGCGCCCCCATGAGGTGGGCCCAGAGCACCCCCCTACCTATGGGCACCATCCTTTCTCTCACCTCAAAGCTGAGGGCAAAGTGGAGCGGAGGCTGGACTGGCCCCAGAATCCCAATGCCCGCCTGAAAGGGCTGGAGTACCTGAATAGCACTGGTTCTGACGGCCATTTTGGCAGCTTGCCTCACCAACCTAAGGGTGGCCATTTTGAGATGATACCACCTCAAGATTGTGCCCGACCTAACTCCCAAGAGACGCTGTGCAAACTCAGCCAGTCCTGCTGCACTTTAGACAAGGCCCCTAAGGAGCCGCCAGTTTCCAGCACCCAGAAAGTAGCTCGCATCCGCCACCAGCAGCACTTGCAAACAGAGATGGAGCAGGCAGGCACTCATGCAGAATCCAAGCGCAAATCCATGGAGCTCAGCTCTCTGGGCTACAGTGGGCCCCACTTGCCACCGTGGCCAGTTCAGGGCCAGGGCCCTCCTTTGTCCATGGCAGAGGAGAGAAAAGGCTCTTACTTGGACCCTTTTAGCAGCAGCCTCCAACAGGCTGCACTCATGACCCAGGGTTCTGTGCTCACGCAGGAAATGCAGACCCCCCCTGACGAAGTGTCAGCCATGAAAAACTTGCTCAAATACAGCAACCAAGCACTTATTGTGGGCCAGAAGGCTCCTTATGTGGGGCTGGGCAGCCTCAAGGCCAGCTGTGCCCATCAGGATGGGGGCAAACATCTGGGGACCAAAGGACAGCAGGACCTGGAACGTTCAGACTGTGCCCGCAGCAGAGACCATGACCTCAGCCACGGAGATGGTGAGGTGCGTCAGCCTCCAGTGGGCATTGCTGTGGCTGTGGCTCGTCAAAAGGATACATTAAGTCGGCCAGAGCCAGCCTATGGATCTAGCTCCAGTCGGCAGAGCCGGACTGCCATGGGCCTCAAAGGTAACAAACATTAGAGAATAAAGTAAAAAGCAGTTGATGTCTTAAAAACTATGTGATTGGGAGGAGGGGCATAAGCACATACATTGTGCTTCCTTTCACAATTCTATCACTGCTCTCTGCTACAGGAGACACAAGCATTGGCTTAAGCGTGCCTTTTCCTGTCCTATTCCTCCCCCCAAAAAACATAAGTACCATTAGTGCTCTGTGGTTTTTATGATTGAAGAGGGATCCTCTCTTCTGCCTTGTATATTAAAGGGCTGGGGTGGGGGGTTAGCTTCAGGAGATTGGGAAGTGGGGAATGGGAGACCTATCATGGGTGAGACTAGGCAGTGGTGTGCCCCCCTTGATTCAAGAACACCCTTTTGTGTGAACATATGAAATGGGATTCAGCCTGAAGCCAAATATTAAATATATCCAGCTCCTTCCCTCTCATTCCTGGCCTTCCACTTTGGAATTTAAACCCTCCAGCACTTGAATTTAGCTAAAGACTTTGGCTGGAAAGGGAAGTTAGATCTTGGACTCTATTTTCACTCTTGTGGAAATCCCATCTGGATGCAGAATGGACACATGAATGTGAAAGGGACGTCGTAGGGCCTATTTCCAAGTGCATCTTCTTCCTCTTTTTCCTGGGTTTTGTTGTCAGCTCTGCTGGGTAAACCAGAGCAGGAATACTAGAATTACTTTTATTGAGATAGGGTGTAGTAATAGAATCTTGCAAGAGTTACAGTGCTGTACTTCCCCTTCTTATACGCCAGTGAATCAGAGGGGTATCTGCCAGGGGCCACTTCCAAATATATATATGGAGAGAATGGGGAACCTTCCACTCCCATCCCTGAACATTTGCCAGAATCTGACATTAATCTCTGCTCCCCTGTTCTGTTTTTCACAGCTGGTGCCGCGAGGCCTATGCATGTCATCGATCTAGATGCTGAGGAAGAACGGAACCGGCTGTGTGAGGAGCGTTTGGGGCTTGTGGGGAGAGATCTCCTGCTTCAGTAAGCCCAACTACCGGAGAAGGGAAGGGGGATTAAACATTGTCTTGGTAGTGGTTAGTAATAATTTGTAATTAGACTGGGAAGGCTGGTGAAGGGCACTGAGTAAAGCTTACTTGCATCCCAGAAAAAAAATGCTATCACTGCCATCTTTCAATTAGCATTAAAATTGTCGAATGATGGCTCTTTCTTTCTGAGAGCCAGTTTGTTGTTGTCATTGTTGTTATTCTGCAATCCAAGCCATTTCCCAAGGCTAAGATTATAAGATAATTATACATTACTGGACGATGGTCTATACTGTAATTCCTTGGCCAGGCCAAGGGATCTCTTCATCCCAGCTGACCTGCATTTCTTTTATCTGTACTTGTCAGGGATAACAAAGATCTTGTGGAATTTGCCCGAATCCACCCATCAAGTAGTTGTCCTGGAGACCTCACCCCTCATCTGATGATTGCAGGCAGTTCCTCATTGCAGACCAGCCAACTGGGAGGAGATCCAGCAGCCCATACCCATCCTGCTCATGCACATTGGTTGCCACGGACACGCAGCCCTTCACTTTGGATGGGTGGACACTCCTATGGTGAGTCAAGCAAACAGTCTGTATCTAAAACTGAAATTTTATCTTCATGGACTTGTTCTTTTATTTCTGACTTATCAGGAAAGTCCTTCACTCCTGATCTACCACTTTTAAGCCAGCCTCCCACAGAATTCAATCCCAAAAGAGTCTTAGTGCCTTTTTTTGCTTCAAAAACCTGTCTTGTTCTATCCCATCCCTTACATTTTCCAATCTCCTATTACTCCTTTTTGCAGAGAGGAACGATCTGTAGGTGGCCAAGAACAGAGGTGACATTTTGTAGTGGGCAGAATGCACAGAGCAAGTGTTACACATGGGAAGGGCTGGAATTTTTGAATATTTTCCAATTTTATGAGGGTGAGAGGTATTTTGCTTTTATTGTTATACCTATCTTAGATCTTACATTAAGTTTCCATGTATCTTGTGATGAGAAAATCCATGCCACTGATTTTGACCAATCACATATCGAAAATGTAATGAAGGGTTGGAACCATAAAGAAGAAGCTTCGAGTCTGCCTTTTCCCCATGCTCTGCTTGAATAAGAGATCTAAATTGACCTTAACTTATAAACATAGGTATGATTGGGATCAAGGGCTAATGGGGTCAAGGGCAACTTTGCTATTCCGACCGACTAATTCAGTGGTTCTCAATCTTTTTAGACCGGCGACCCCGGTCATGAGCAGGCGGCACGCATGTGTGGCGCCCCCCCTGCGCGGCACGCATGTGTGGCGCCCCCCCTGCGCGGCACGCATGTGTGGCGCCCCCCCTGTGCGGCACGCATGTGCAGTGCCGCCCCCTGAGTGGCACGCATGCGTGGCGCCCCCCCTGCGCAGCACGCATGCGTGGCACCGCCCCATGCGCCGCCCCTGCATGGCACGCATGCGCGGCAGCGCCCCCTGCGGCGGCTGAGAAAAAAATGGCGGATCACGTTGTTTGGCGACCCCCGTGAAATGGTCGTTCGACCCCAAATGGGGTCGCGACCCACAGGTTGAGAACCACTGGACTAATTGCACTATTCCAGGTATTACAAGAAACCTACATGGAAATTAATCTGCAATAATGTTTGGATCATACTTTATCCCATACCATCAGTGTTCAGCAAGAACCTGACATAAATGATTTCCAAGATAGAATTGTATAACGTGCAGAGAAACTCCAGAATGAGCCTCTGGATTCTTGTATTCATTTCTGTCCAGTGATTTAACTCAGGGTGGTAAAATGGTTAAGATGTTAAACTAGGAGTGGGATGACTCTGACTGTAGTTCACTCTTAGCTTTGGAAGCTTATTGGGTGTCTTATAGCCTTCATTTCTTCACAGGGTAGATAATTGTGGAGCAAAATAGGAGAAACTATTGCTATATTTGCCCATCTTGAGAGAGAGAGAGAGAGGAAAGGAAGGTAGGAAGGAACGAAGAAAGAAAGAAAGAAAGAAAGAAAGAAAGAAAGAAAGAAAGAAAGAAAGAGAAAGAAAGAAAGAAAGAAAGAAAGAAAGAAAGAAAGAAAGAAAGAAAGAAAGAAAGAAAGAAAGAAAGAAGAGGCTAACTGCATGGGAAAGACAGGTGGAAATAGCAAAACTATTCTCAATTTTAACGTAGACCCCTCCCTTTATTGCTTGATACCTTGTTTCCTATTTTGGTGAGTACTCAAAGCAATTAACATGCTTGTCAAAATAAAAACAATATAAAAAGTTAAAAATACATATTGAAACTGACGCTAAAATCTATTAACAATATGTTATCTATGTTGTTCCATGTGATGAATCTACACTCAACCTATGACGGAGGAAAAGTTAAATGAGAAATGTGAACAAGCAAAAATGTGTCCTTGTAAAACTCCTTTCCCTGGAGAATGTGAGATTGCTATACACATAGGTCAAATACATTGGACTTTATCTCATGTCAGGAAAAATGTTTTCTTTCCTAACTTATTCCAGGAATTGGGCACCCTGCTTTGCATCAAAACCTACCACCTGGTTTCCCACCTTCTATGCCCAGTGCCATGCAACCCGTCTTCCCTCTGTCACAGGAGCCACCTGCTCAGCTAGTTATTCTGCCCTCAGAGCCGCCAGCCCATGGAGCCCCCCACACCCTGGGTAAGTGGAAGCCAGAGACAATTAGCTGTGGCATATTCCCTGGGTTAAAGGTAAAGGTCCTTCTCCTGTAAGAAGAGGCAATGGGTGTGCCTCCTGGCTTTGTTTACTCCTCTGATTATCTCTCATGCTTCTTTGCAGCTGAGGTGATGGATCAGGCAACTATCTGGCCATCCATGTATCCTAGCCGGGGGCCTGGTTCTCACTTGCAGCACACAGGACAACTTCCTGTCTACTCCCGCTCTCAGTTCCTGCGTCAGCAAGAACTCTATGCCTTGCAGCAGCAGCAGCAACAACAGCAACAGCGTGCAGCGCAGGCCTTGGAAGTGCAGCGGCACACTCACAGCCAGGTAGGCATGTGAAAAAGATGGCATTATTGATGTCACACCTGTTGGTAACTCTTACTGGAAAGTTGGAAAAACAGCGAATTGCCCCACCTTTATGAGCATCTGGATAATCAGGGTGTAGGAATTAGACCGACAATCTTCCTTAAGATATCCAAAACCTGGCTTTTTCCCAGGACTTTGTCAGCTAGGAAGTTGAGAGCCCATTTTTAGGCATTGTGGATGTTGATACAGTTGTGCTGCCGTAACTGTAATACGTTTTGAATTTTATTGATATTTGTATTGCTGATTTTTGTTGTTTGCTGCCCGGAGCTATTAATAATAAATAGGCAAACAGAGATCAAATCTTGTCCTTTGTAAAATAATCCAGACATCATAAAGCTCCTTTAATATAGATTGTTCCATGTGGTCCAGATCACAGGATAATGCAGACCCACATAGATGCATTGCAGGAAGGTGATTGTTTAAAGCAGTGATTCTCAACCTTTCTAATGCCGTGACCCCATAATACAGTTCCCCATGTTGTGGTGACCCCCCCAAGTGGGTGTGGCCACCAATAAGAGGGAGTAGGACAGCTAGGGAAAAAGGAAAAAAATGGCTGACAGCATGGTTTGGTGACCCCCGTGAAATGGTCATTCGACCCCAAATGGGGTCCCGACCCACAGTTTGAGAACCACTGGTTTAAAGTAATTTAGCCATTTACAAAACACCTATGTGCAAGAGAAGATGAATATATGGAGAAATTACATTCTATCCAATTGGGTGTGATGGAAAAAAACCCATCTAAGCTTCAAACAATAGTGCTTGGCCAGATCCCAAATGAAAGCAATCTCCTGAGTTCATCTCAAGGGAAGTGATATTGGCTAGAGATCCATGCTAACCTTCCTCATGCTTCTAGTTGTGAGATTGTGATAATGATGAAATCCAACATCATATGTGGAAGAAGAACTTGCTTCCTGACTCCAAAGTCTTTCTGTCAAGGCCTTGTGTTGAGGCTTTGAACAAGTACAAAATAATGTAGGCTATGTTGTGTTGACCCTTCGGATCCAATTTTATGTTTGGTTCATTCAATTTCCAAAAAGATATTCTTGAAAAATTATGGGGGATGTTAGTTAGAGAGCTGGTTAATTAAAATTGCCAGGTTCAGAGAACAGGGCTTCTTCTCTCTATGTAGGTGTTTGAGTAGCAGCCATTGAAACATTTTAGAGAAGAAAGTTCCCTACTTAATTGAATTTGCATAATTTTTTGTTGCAGAACCTGAATGCTTTTAAGGCAGAACTCTACTTACTTACCATATAAGCCCAGTCTCAGTTCCTGCATGCACAGTCCAAGACAGAAGAGTAGAAAACATAAAGCTAGCCATCCTCTCAAATGTATCTGATTCCCTGCTGAGCTCATTGAAACTGTTCTTCCTGTTACTGCACTGGAGGGATACAATCTCCAAAAGACCACCGAGTCAGCCTAAGCATAGGATTGCACATTGTCTATGATACCAACTGTGGTACTGTGTAAGGCAGTGGTTCTCAATCTTTTTAGTGCCGTGACACCCCCCCCCCCAAAAAAAAACCGGTCATAAGTCGAGGACTACTCAACCGGTTGTAAGTCGAGGACTACTCAACTGGTGCAGCACCATTCAAAGGCCAGTATAAAAGGGAGTAGCACAGCTAAGGAAAAGGGGAAAAAAATGGCGGACTGCGTTGTTTGGCGACCCCCGTGAAATGGTCGTTCGACCCCAAATGGGGTCCCGACCCACAGGTTGAGAACCACTGGTGTAAGGTATATCGAGAAACAGAAAGTGAAAGAGTACACAGTGACATGCTCCATGAATCAATGCTGAAGTCATAAGTTGTTGGAACCACACGGAAGTCTAAGACATGCACACTAATAGTACAACCATTGAGCTTATTGCTGCCGTGTCATTATTTATTGATGTACTTGATTGATATACTTATTGACTATCCATCTCTTTCTCTTCCATCATCTACTTAATAGCGGAAGCCTGAAGAGCCTCCACCAGAGCTAGAGTTGCCGGGTCCTGAAAAGCCACTCAAACCATCTCACAAAGCAGTTGCCTTAAACGCTCCCCCGAAGGGCCTGTCCCCAGCAGCTGCCTGCTCAGTCAAGCGCTCCTCATGCTGCCATCCACCCAAATGCCCGGGTCCCTGCACTTTACCTGTCTGCCCTGCTGTGGTGCCACGCTCCCCTGCTGAAAGTCCAGGGCCCTCCCAGAATTCTACAGGTCCTGAAACTGAGGATAAGCAGCCTGAAGGGCGGCCAGCCCAGGACTATCCTAAATCACTGGAACCAGGTAGAGATTCAGTCATGGCAGGCTGAGAACTGGAATGAGAAATGGCCCCTTTTTTGTTGGCTTTGCTATCTGTTGGATTATTTTAATCTGGGCTAGCTGTTGAATGCTTTAGCTGTTTTCATGTTTTTTTTCTACTTTTGGTACGTCACTCAGTCCATCAGATTTGGGTAGCTAATAAATTAATCATAATCTTAATAATACACCTCTGGAGCACGATTTGAAGACCATTGGCATTGACAAAATCATCAGTAGTCAATTGCAAAAGGCAGCTCTCCTTGAAACAGCTTACATCCTGAGGCAATACCTTTAATATTATTAAATGACAACATCTACCTGTTCTGGGTCCTTGAGAAGGATTGACAGGTGGACACAAACACTAAATCCAAACTAAACCTCTGGATGACTGTGCAATTCACAACAAGTACAAGGCCACACTGCTTGGATCTGCATATATGCTATGCCAATACATTATGACATCCTAGGTTCTTGGGAAGAAGTTGATGCATATGAAGACCAACTCCAGCTAAAGATCTGACAGCTGGGTGATTCCACTTTGCTCTGTATATAATGATAATAATAAGGGTCTAGCAAACATTTGGTATAGTTCTGTAATCCAACAGTTTAAATTCAATTAAGAGCACACTGAAGAAAGGATGACTTGCTAGTAAGGATTCTGGAAAGTATAGCACTGTCTTGTTTCAGGTTGTTAAAATAGGGCAAATACAAATTCTTGTGGTTATAGAGCAGACATGTCAAACACAAGGCCCAGGGGCCGGATGTGGCCCGCTAAGTGCTTTCATGTGGCCTGTGAAGCCATCCTGGAAACAGTGAGGCTGGGCGGCCGGCTGGGAGCCAATGTACAATTGTGGTGGCCATCTATGCTGAAACTCATTCAGTCTTAGCTCCACAAGGCCGTCTAGAAACAGCGAGGAACCAGCCCCTGCTGCGTCGGCCCCACCCCCTGGGTGCATGCTGGGGAGGTGTCACCCTTTGTGAGGAATGAAGAAATGCACCATGCCTTGGTGCTTGCCCTGGTCCCAGCCCCTTCTGCCCGAGACCCTCAGATCTGTCCCACTCCTGCCCAGGCCCCAAAAGGCACCCTTGATGCGAACAATGTAGAGCTGGCCATGCCCACCCAGTAGGCCACACCCACTCCATCCATGCCCATCCAGTAGGCCGCACCCACCCTGGCCACCCCCCCCCCTGGGCAACCACAATGCTGATGTGGCCCTCAATGAAATTGAGTTTGATACCCTTGTTATAAAAAGATGCTTGACAAATGTAGTGAAAACAGGAAGGTTTGGGGGGTTGGACAACTATGATAAAAGTCTTCGAACCTGGAGATGGAACCTTTCAAAGGTAGTTGGAACCAAAATATACTTCAGCTACTAACAATTACTAGCAAAGGAACAAGGACTTTTACACATGGAAGACTGCTCTTCCATGTAGCTCCCTGCTGTTGTTGAATGTTAAGGAAGCAGCAGTATATTTAAACTCCCCCCATAGCTGATCATGAGCAGCAATAGGGGGGATGACTGCAAGATGGAGTATGGACACCTAGGATGCCTATATTGTTTGTATTGTACGCTCAGAAACCATAGTATTTCCATTGTTCATAATCAGGACCTCAGCATCTTTTCGTCCCTGTTTTTGGATTTTCCTTTCTCAACTTGAATTTCCCTCAATCTCAGCATTTCATTTCTTTTTCGGGAGACAATTCTGCAGAATATATCGTGTGATATATAGAATTTTTGGGAGTAATCGTACAGTCCGTAGAGAAAAAGGAATATTGTGTCAAGCGGTACTGCTCATTGTGGACTCTATATTTGAGACTATTAATATTTGCTATGGATTAGCTAGTCTCCTGCTATGCTTTACTCCGGGATTCTTCTTCTCTTTGTAGATCTTCCTCCTGGTTATACCTACCCTGTGGCTGGTCTGGGCTATGCATCACCATTTCCCCGGGACCCAGCTGATCCTGACACTATGCAAACTGTTTCTACAGCAGCTGAGCCTGAACAGTCACGCACCTTTCCACCAGAGCAGGAGCCACGCTGCGAGGCAGAAGCTAGCCCACCCAGTGGGACTGGGGACTCTGAAGTGGAACCCACCCATGCTCACCCTCCACATCTACTTGTCCATCCCCAGAGACCAAGCTCCACTGAAACGATTAAGGATACCCCAAATTGCTCCCTGCTGGTCAGGGATAGCTCAGATGACTTGGATTCTACCCAAAAAGAACATCAGGACGAGCCTAGTTCAGATGCTGCCATGCCAGGACCTTCCCCTGAAGTGATGACGACGGAAGAGAGTCCTGTTGCAGCATTGGAAGTTGACTGTCAGGAAGTGGAGAGTAATGCTATCTTACCTGATGATCCATCCACACATACTGATGTACAGGCAGCACCGTGTGGCCTGGATGCCCTTATTGCTGCCGGCATCAACTTGGGTGAACTCCCAGACCTGGAATCCCCATCTTCTGCAGCTTCCCTTCCCTTGCCCTCTCCGTGCAGCTCAGGGATTCCTGGCATTGCCCTGCTCAGTGAGCTGGCTGAACTGGAACTCTGTCAGCGGCACTGTGATTCAGGTAAGGAAACAATGGGTCATCCTGTCTTGATTCCTTCTCTCCACCTCAGAGCAGGGAGGTGGAAAAATCAGCATTTGCTTCTTTCTTGGCACCTCTTTTTATTGGTGTCTGAAGACTTCTGGCTTCTTCCGCTCATGAGGGCAACTTAACCAAAAAAAAAAAATGCACTTCCCATCTAAGGCAAAGGCAGAGCCAAATAACAAATGTCAGCATAGGAATGAGAAGCTCCCTTTTCCCATACCCTAATCCTGCCTCCTGACTAGTCAGCAGGGAATTGATAAAGGAATACTGTATGAAGACATGACAACGAACTGGAAGTTGAACATTTGCTCATGATGTGAGGATTGTCCAGGGACCAGGGCTAGAAATTCTAGAATCTTTTCCCAGATCTTGGAAAAAAGAGGTCCATGCTTGTCCTCTTGGGATATATATAATAGATGGTTTTGCACACATGCTAGGGTCTATTCCCCTATTTCCTTCCATTAGCTTTTCAGTGTTTCATGGACCAGCTGCTAATCAAATGCCAGATTCACATGCATGATGTATAGTTCTCCCTTCTCATCAGGTGTCACTCAAATAGTCTCATCCAGAGTTGTAAAGTAGGAGGGGATCACAAAGAACACTAGTCCTTTTTGTAAAATAATAATTTTATTAAATATTACAGTTGAAAAAGCAAACAATACAAATGAAACATAAAAGTAAAAAAAAAATAAAAATAGAAAAGAAAGAGAAGTGAGAAAACTATTCTCCTTTAATTGTAATATAGCTGTAATAAATAGTTCCTTCTGATTCCTCTAGTATTCAACCTTATCATGTTTTTTAATAATTCAAAATAACAGCATTTTTTTCACAGGAAGATTTCTTATAAATAATTTCAAAATCTTATTTCAAATTTGGACCCTTAGTCCATCGCTAACTTTCCAAAATCAACATTCTAATAATCTTTCTGCTGTTTATTCAAAAATGTTTTTTAAAAAAAAATCCTTAAATTTATATTAAGATTTGAAGGAAACTCACCCTGTGATAAAATTTTGCATATTGTTTTTCATTTTTTTGTGTTTAAAACTTTTTCTTTTGAATTTTAATTAAGCCTGTATTCAGCTCTGGGAAGGTTGGGGGAGGGTTGGGGTGGGTTGGGAGGGTTTGGGGAAGGGAACTTTTTTGTAAAATTTTAAAAATTTTCAATAAAAATAAATAAATAAATAAATAGGTTCCTAATAATTGAAAAACAATTAAGAAATATTTCCAAAAGACATCAGGCCTGGAAAACTATATGTCCATATAGGCTACATTATAGCTATGAGCTTGGTTGAAATCCTTCAACTCCCAGCTGCTTGATTCACAAGCTAACCATAAAAACCTTGGCTCCTGTAGTCTACTCACAAGGAGCAGGTGTCTGGAATACATGTGGACAATCTCACTACCTCTCCTTTCTCCAGAGAGACTTTGTCAGCCACAGTTCTGCTATCTGGCCACCAGTCTGCTGCCATGCCATCCCGCTCCTTTAGGGATGACAGTTCACTATGAGTTCTTATTGGAAGTCCTCAAAAGGTCACCTAGCTCAATCCATCATTGATGAAGTATTTCTTCTACTACAACTATAGTTTCTAGATCCCTTCATTAGACATCTGTTCATCGCAGATCGCTCTCAGGTATATAACTGGTTAGGAAGGAATCTCCTCTTTCTCTTTTTAGAAAAATAGACCAAAGATTGTGTCACACCTGTCCTAATCATGATCAGGTCCCAGATTGGTTAGGAGATAAAGTGAACTATTCAGACATGAGCTATTCCTCTTCAATATCCCCTACTTTTTTTAGATTTAGAGGAACTGTATTCTTCCTTAGAATCGTGCACCCTGATACACTATTATCCCACTCTGACTTTTGAGCACAGCTGGGCTTACAAGCCAGCACTTGCATAATCTCTGGCATTATGAATAACTGAATGCTGTGAATTAGTGCATGTAAACAAAAATGGCACATAAATCCATGTAGATCATTGTTTTAGATATACCATGTTAAGGCAGTATAAACTCTTCGAAATGCGTACAACTTTGAAAGTATCACAAATCAATAGAGGAAGCGTGCACCTCTCAAAATATTCACCAGCAAGGAGAGAATTGCTCATCAGGCTACTTAAGACCAGCATTAGGGAATCTAGTAAATTCCCACTTAGAGGCTGAATTTGGAGGATTGCCCAACAACCAAATGAAATCGGGGCAGGTATTAGAATTGTTGCACTTGATTGGGCCTTGCTGATGATCAGCATGCCTCTTACTTTTGAAAGCTTAGAAAGCAAGAGCCTTGGACTTCATTACTGTATATTGAATATAGAAAGCAGTAGGGTCGGGGGATTTCCCTTGTTGGATTTTGAACTGTGAATTAATTTGGGATGAGGGCTTGCCTATTACAAGCATCCTAGGCTGGCCTATTACTATGAGGCCTTGCATGCTTGGAAAGCTGGAGAATAGCATATTTGGCTGGTCTGTTACCAGATTTATTTTGATGTCTCCTGTTTTCAGAATGTCTCAACTCTCGAGAAGTATCTCACATTCCCTGCTTATGAATAATAATGGGTTTTGCCAATGCTAATAATAATCACAACCCTCCAATATCATTTGAGTAGTGAAAGTCCTTCTTTTTTGTCCCTACACCTTTCGGCTGCTGTTAGACGCCTCCTACTTCCTGCCTCCCCAGTGGCGAGGTTTACACCAACCCACATATGCAGATGGTTATCATCCCCTGTGGCTAAGCGACGTCTGTGCTTTTCATCTGTACACCAACGGTTATTGCTCACACACCAAAACCGTTCTTGCCCACAGTGGAACGGAAAACCGCATACAAGGACTCCCCTATGCACCTTCTCATATGTGTGTGCAGGCACTTTCACAAGCAGATGCACTTGTATACAAAGAGCAACAGCCCATGTGGGAGAGGTATATGACTGAATGAGTCTTTAAAGAGATACACCCGCACATGCATACTGCAAGGTTGTGTTTTTTTAAAAAATACACACATACATGTCCACGGTTACCCTTTTTCCACTTATATATCTTCATGCACAGGCTGGCCCTTTCAGCTATCCCTATCCTGAACATGTCTTCTACTTTTGAGGCTATTTCCATTAGGCCCCCTTTTCCTTAAATTCTGGCAATGCTAGATTTTGCTCGTTGCCCCAAATGGGCTTCTCAGGCCTTCTGCTTGGACAAGTGACATCCTATGGCAGTGATGGCCAACCTTTTAGAGACTGAGTGCCCAAACTGCAACCCAAAACCCACTTATGCATCGTCGAGTGCCGGGTGGGTGTAGCCCATTGGCTGGGTGTGGCCCATGGGCTGGGCGTGGCTGCAGTGGTAACGGCAGACTAGGTGGGACTAAAAAGTTCAATCAATCAATCAATTCCAACTTTGCAAGATCTTTTTTTTCCCTGCGAGAAGTTGAAATTGACTGATTGAACCTTTTTTTTTTTTTTTTGCACATGGCGGCAGAGGCCTAAAGCAAAAAGGTTTTATAAAACCCAGCTGAAGACCTAGGACTGGGGCGACGGCGCGCGTGCCCACAGAGAGGGCTCTGAGTGCCGCTTCTGGCACCTGTGCCATAGGTTCGCCACCACTGTCCTACGGTAACAACTTTCCCTCTGTGTGAAAGGACGTCAGATGTGTTCCGCAAATAAATGATACAAATAGGGACCCAGTGGTTTTAAGCTATGGTTTGGGAGGAGCTTTGTGCTTTTCTAAAATAACCATAGCTTGCAAGCCAACTTTTTCTACATCATGGCTCTCTTTCAGGCCTTCATAACGGAAGGGGGGGGAAGCAGCTTGGTGTTTCTTCCCAGGAAAGATAGAGTCTTTTCACGAGATGGGCTAGATTGTGAGATGCCACCAAATATACACAGAAGAAGCCCAAGACACATACCTTCATCCAGTCACCAGAATTCAGAGATGTTACAACATGAAGTATTTATTATACAGCTGAAATATTTTGAGGGTCCTCTTTACTACGGGGCCTATTCGTTTGCACCCTTCTCAGTTTTCCCTCTTCTATTTCTGCCTTTTTCCTTCCTACAAATGAAGGTGAATATACGTGTCCCAGGATGATGTTGCAGGATCCGATCTGGGCCGGTCACTGGGACCAGAGGTTTTCTCTTCCAAACTTACGGACTCATGCCGGAGCCCCATCTTTGGATAGGAAGGGAAAAGGAGCCCTTTTTCCTTCCTATCCGAGGATCTGCTAAGCAGCAAAAGGGGCCGTAACTAAGTAATGTTATATGATAGATAGAGGAGGTATGTAGAAGCAGGCCAAGAAGGCAAATTTAGTCTGGAAGCTCTGAATACGATGGCTCCTTTTATGTGACAAGATTGAGAGCCCTAGGTGGGAAATGTAAGCTCATAACTTATTAATAACCTATTCTATGAATGAGAATTGATCGTCTCCCACTGTATCTTTCTGTTTTCCACAGTGCTGGATGAAGACTTGGCAGCCTTCAATTTGCAAAGTCTAGCTACTCTTGCTGCTGCCTGGGCTCTTGTTGAAGCTGCTGGCTTCGAGAGCAGCCCACCTGACCTTCTCAGTCTGGCAGATGCCGCACCATGTGTGAATCTGCGCCCTCGCATGCGGGTCTCCCGACGGAAATACATCTGGACCCCTAAAACCAAGCCTGTAAGTCTCTTGTCTTCCAAATGAATGACAAAGCTGATAGACTGAAAGATTACCGGCGAGCATTCCACTTCTGTAGCCATAGTTCAGGAGTGTCAAACTGGTGGCCCATGGGCTGAACGAGTCACGTGGAAGCCGTGCCCACCCCATTGCCAGCAATGACAAATCCGGCCTGATAACGTTGCGCAACGTCATGTGACGTTGCGAGTTTGACATGCCTGCCATAGTTTGTCTCTTAGGACTCATTCTTGGGAGGAGGTAGCAAGGTGAGAAACAGTGAAATGTTCATTATGATGGCACAGTGCAAATCCCTCCCCTTTTGTACATTCATTATAGTGACATTGCAATGCATGTTTCATCATTCTTAACAAAAGCGTGGCTTGCTCTGGAAACCTCTGGATGAGACAACAGAATTAAACAAGACTGCTGTATTCTACAAGCAAAACTGCGTGCAGAAGATTTTGAAACCTTGGAGCGCATTTTTTTATTCCTGTTTTTATTTATTTGTTTGGTTAAGGGACAGTTATTAAGGCTCATCTTAATCAACTCTGTAGGATAGCCTTTGCTGTATCAGCCTCTCCAATTTTAATAATCATATTTATAGGGAAGGTTGGCTAGGTAGAGTGTATGGAGGTTAGAATGCTAGGCTTCTGATTGGGTACAGAGAGTCCTTATGACAATAATTGAGCTGTGAATTATGGTCATAAATTGTTGCAGTTGTAACTTGAGGCATCATATGAGTGGACCTGACTTTTTTGACAGTTTTTGCGGTAGTCGTTATGCAAACACCGCAGTTATTAAGTGAACGCCGCAGTTATTAACCAAATCAGTTTCCCCTGATGGGAGTTTTTTTTTTTTTTTTTTGCCAAAAACCAGAAGTAAACAGTAGAAACTGGTAAAAAAAAATGTTGCAAAAAATGGTGCAAACTGCCGAAAAGTAAGTAAACTGCAAAGTGCTCAAAATGTGATTGTGTAACTGCGGAGGGGTGGGGCGATAGTTTGTGCCCATTGTAACAATGAAAAGAGGTCATAAGTAGCTTTTGATGGTCCATCATAAAGCAACCAGGTTATAAGTCGAGGACCACTTGCACTCTGAAAACTGAATACAGTTCATCAGTATTTTGTGGACTGCTTCTGCTTGAGTTCCTAAATGATAAGAATGTCCTTTAAGAGAATGGGAAATCTCTAAAGATCTCTGTATTTTTGGTATGTGCAGCAAGGAGATAGATCATTATCAAAGTTAAGCAACTATAGGGAAAAAAAAGAGGAAGAAGAAATTTCAACAGGAAATATTCTTGTTACAATTCTGTTTTGAATTCCAGAAATCCCCTCAAATTAATTTGTCTTAATTACATTTCTTAGTAGTTGAAGATGTTGGGTGGCCAAAATGGCTCCCACTTGGAATATGAGTGAAGATCACAAAAATACCTTAAACGTCATCCTACAAGTACATAAGTAGAACCAATTGGCCTTTTAAATTTGCTTCCTCAGTTCAAGAGTGCAGATAAGTCTCAGGGCATATAACCAACGTGAATAAAACATGTTATGTGCCCTGTCACCTCTTGCTTTCCTCTGTGGCTAAGATGGCCTTTTCTCTCTCCCCAAAGGTTTGCCCTCTGAAAGCAGCAATTGAGAATTTGGACACACAGGAAGTGGAGATGCGCATGCGCCTAGCGGAACTGCAGCGATGCTACAAAGAGAAGCAGCGGGAATTGGCCAAACTGCAGAGGCGGCATGACCATGAGTGAGTGTCTGTTTTCTTTAGTTTTCACAGTAGGCTTCTAGGATAAGCACCTGAGTTACTTGCCAGAAAGGAATATGGGTAAAGCAAAATGGTGCCAGGAATAATGTCAGTGGTAAGGGGGTGAAATAACTTTGAATCTACGGTTTGGTCTGTTTACTGTAGCATCTGAAGGCCAAACGATCCCCTCAGTCAAACCTCCCCTGTCCTCTAAATTAGACTGGTGCCCACATCCAAAGAAACCCTTAACATACACGGGAGCAGGGCTATTCCTGCCCTTCTGTTCTGTGTTCAACATGGTTATTACCTATAGGCGAGAGGAGAGTTCCCGGAGTCCAGCTCGACGGGGACCGGGGCGGCCTAGGAAACGCAAGCACTCCAGCACACTCGGTTCATTGCGACAGGTTTCCATGGGCAAGAGTGACAGCAGGAAGATCAAGTGAGTGATCTAGCATGATTTATGGTGCTTGGGGTTGGGGAAAGCACATGTGTACAACATTGCTTGTCTGCTTGAAAGCTTGAGGGATCCAGTGGATGCTGTAAGCAGGGTCTGTCTGTGTGGTTGTTATAATGAGTGGAAGTGCTTCTGTGTGCATTTCTGCAGGGATAAATCTACAGATGGGACTATCGGGCCATTAGCAGGATGGGAGAAAGGTAGAACTTTTGTTGCAGCAAACGCTGTTCTCCTCATTCCCTCTTCCCTTTCATCCTAATACCATGGGATTCTCTCCCCTGCCCCAAAATCTGGAATTATTAGCTGGAATGAGAGGCATCAACGATAAAAGGGTCTTGATAGGAAAGATTTTAGCCACCTGTTTCTATCCTTCATTTTCTTTTTAGAAATTTCCTCTCCATCCACTTTACAGGTGTTTGCTCTGTATATATTTACCAGGCTAGACAGTATGAATGAGACAAAGTGTGAATCTGTTTGCATTTGTATATGTATGTCACTGGGGATCTGTAATTAAATTTTGGGGAAGCATAATATGTGCAAAGGGAAACTTCACATAATGAAGCCCTTCCTTCCTTCCTTCCTTCCTTCCTTCCTTCCTTCCTTCCTTCCTTCCTTCCTTCCTTCCTTCCTTCCTTCTTTCTTTCTTTCTTTCTTTCTTTCTTTCTTTCTTTCTCTTCCTCAGCCTATTTTTTTTTTTACATCAAACAGGCTGTATAGCATGTTTCTTTATACTGCTTTCTTGTATTTGTACACTATAAAAAGCGAACTCTTCCTCCCAGATCTCTGTTTGTAGCATAGTAATTACAGACCACACTGGGTAGAGGCATGAGAAAAAGTGGTGGTGGTGATGTTCAGTGAATATGTGGTGATCAAAGCATTGCTTGTTGTTTTGGGCTATTACTGTTGCCTTCACCCTAGAGGTGACTGCACTTTAGCACTAAACACGAGGAAGGCCTTACCCATCATAGTGGCCATCAGATCTGGAAGAATAAGAGGGCTAAAGAGATGCCTGTTCCTCTGTGCTCCCCTGCCTCCTGTCTATCTTGCCTCCTGCACTGCTCTGGGGGAAGAATTGCCCCTCTTTGAAAAGGAAGGCAGTGTTGCATAAAAGCCTCTTTATCTGTGCTGTATAAAGTCATTGGTCACGCTGCAGTGGTGTTCATTGCTGCTGGCGCTTTATGATTATCCATTAGCCGCCCGGCACAGTCATTCCCGCACTCACGGGCCCTGTATAATTGTCCTTCTCTGCTACAAATTGCCTCTCCCGGCAGGCCCATTTGCATAAATCCTCCAAGCTAGTCCAAACATGATTGGAGCACGCGTGTGTGCGCTGCATCAATCCTGATGATTTGGTAATAATAGTTAAATCTGTACTAAATGGTTCCTTCAATTAAGACAGAAGAAAAAAATTAATCTCTAGGTTTTATGTCACAAAACATTAGCAAATGTAGTGAAGGTTACAGGGGGAAAAAAAGCAGTTAGTGTTGGCTTTGGGTTGCAACATGGCTCCACCATATGGCTCATGGAAACCTTCCAGGACTCACTAGAGAACTTGCGTGCCTTCTCCCATTCCTCTCCACCCCAGTCCTTTACGTAGAATTATCCTGGGGGGGGAAAGTAGGAGAATCCCTGTTCTCGCTCCAAACCTTGAAAAGCTGTGCGGATTCATGCAAAATTAAACATAAGAAGGAAATCCATTCTTTAGCTTATTGGGAAGACGATCCCAGCTTTGGCTCCCCTAAGCTTCCTTTCCCTTGCATTTTAACCCCACTTCTGTACGAGCCAAAAAATCATCCCACCAGGATGGATTTGCCAGCAAATCTTTAAAAGCTGAAAGAGGAGATTCTGTGATTCCAGAACAGCATTCCAAGCGCTGTTTAGTATAGCGGCACTAAAGTGCCATTATCTAGGATGGGAGCCAACACAAAAATATGCTGGTTGTAAGAAGTGCTGACCACATTTGGACCCAATTCTGCCTCAGGAGTGAAGGGGAATAGGGGTTGTGTCCACAAGAGAGATTCAAGGTGTGAGATGTGGAATGTAGCTAGTACTCGTTTAACAATCACCTCGTTTAGTGACCATTTGCAGCTAGGATGAAGTAACTTTACGACCTTCCTCACACTTATCCCCTTCATAGGTCTGTAAAATGAAAGAAAGCTGAATAAAATTGTAATGTTGTGATGTTTCACTTCACAATCGAGTTGCTGGCCCCCACTGCAGTTGCTAAACAAGGACTATCTCAATGTCCTCTAATGCCAGTTACTGGTTGTACAAGACCTATGCGTCTCCTGATATCTATTTTCTGATCCCATGGGTGGCATTGACACCAAATAACCCATTCTCTCCTGCAACTTTCCCGCACTTTCATCCTATCTATCCGTACTTCTCCTTTTGCCCATGGTGAGAAAAGCAGTGCTGGAGAAGAGAGACCTGTCCCTGTTTCTATCTTCCATAAAATGTCATGGGTGAGAGTCCGAGTGGAGGTAAGAAGGACAAGAAGTGGAACTTCTCATCCTATCATCCCAGGCAGGTGACAAAGCAGCTATTCCCAGTGGTTGGGAATAACAGCTCTGCTTTCCCCTTTGCCTTCAAAAGTATCACTGCACACATGTTTAAAATGTGCCCTTCCCCTCCCGTTCACCACTGTAATATTGAAGTAGGGGAGAGGAGCTGCTGAATCATAGAACAGGGCACCCACGGGGTACAGCCAGTAACCCTCTGGAGAGCTTGGGCCAGCAATGTTGAGGCTACAAAAGGATCATTTTAACCAATGTCATGGTAGAGCACCGGGACATCAGAGTGATGTCTGCCTAACAAAATTCCAAAAGGCCACCGGACATTTGGTTAAAACACGACTCCCCACACTTATGGAACTCTGGCATCTAAGCTATGCAGCAGGGCAAGTGTAAGAAGGTGTAAGAAGAAGTGATTCTGCAGGGGATATCTCTGTGGTAAAGCAGACATTCCATGGTGGGAGCATGTCTTTTTGGCACCAGGAGGCAGGGCAATGGGAAGTACTGTAAGTGAAACGTTGTGAGGGAGAACAGTTTCTTTGCTGTGATTTCCTGATCTCACAAAGTTCAGAGAACTGAATACAGAATAACAGAGTTGGGGGGGGGGACCTTGGGGATCTTCTAGGCCAACCCCCTGCCCATGGAGGAGATCTTATACTATTCTGGACAAATGGCTGTCCAATCTTTTCTTATAGAAACTGATAGTAGTCAACACACTTCCTCCTCTTCTCTCTTGGGTGAGGATAAGTGAATGTTTCTCATGCCAGAAGAATTGGCGCCCCAAAAACACCTGTGTTCCCTCCTTCTCTTCCTGCTTTGCCTGCCATCTGCGAGCTGGCAAGAGAAGTGGAGAGATGGTTGTTTGACAGTAGGAAGAGTCCTGACAATTCACAGCAGGCTGACCGCTTGGCATGACTTGCACAGAAGTAGAAAAAGTAAGTTTGGAAGGAGAGCACAGAAAGACTGAGCAAAAACTGCCTTTGGGGTAGGCTGAGGAAAGGTTGAGAAGAAGGTACACACACATTAAAAAAAGAGACTTGGATTTCAGTCCCACCTTGGGCATGAAGTCAGCTGGGTAGGCCAGTCACTGTCTCTCAGCCCAACTCACTTATTGAGGTGGTTATTGTGGACAAAATAGGAGGAAGAAAGAGGTATGCTCTCTGCCTTGAGTTATTTATAAAAATAATAAAGGTAGGATTAAAAAAACAACCCTTAAATCTAAATCTATATAAAAGTATCCTCCACCAACAGTTAGCAAGGGAAAATGGGATATGTAGATGAGCCTTAAGGCTGTACTCCTGTCTGAGAAGTGTAGTCCAATTCATCTGATGGGCATAGGATTACGTGTTGCACACTGCTGTGGTCTCCAGTCAATTTGTTTAGCCTATTTTTAAAATTTTCAGAAAATTTGACTTACGGATTATTTTGCATGCATTAATTGCAAGTGAGATTATGCCTGTCTGAAGCATCACCTCCTCTGTTCTTTTCAAAAGTCTCTCAGCTTTAAATGGGCTCAGCACAAAAAAATGCCCTTCCAAAAGGCAATAAAGCAAGCACACCTTCATGCAGCCATTTCTCTGAATGCTCACATGTGAGCACTTGTCAAGCTGACCCTTTGTCAGAGATCACAGAAAAGTCCCTTAATCATATAGCTCCCAAAAAACAAGTGGCATAGGTATACTGCTTTGAGACTTCAATCTTCACCTGAGTGGTAATCCTCTCCGCTTCCTGTTCTGCTCTTTTACGTTTGCACATTTGTATGTCTGCCCTGTAAACCTGCCCGAGCAAACAGCTACGGCACAGGATTCCTTGATCCAGTGCCAAGGCAGGGCTCCTAGCCATCATGGCATCCCTACCCTGTGTCGGGCGGAGGCTTTTGGCCTCACTGAAGCAACACATGTTTCCAGAGCAGCTGCAAGCCTGGTCCCTTGGCCTCCTTCCTATCGAGAACATTCCTGTTTCTTGAACTTCCCACGCTAGGCAGTGATATCTGCCAAGCTTGCCTCCCTCCAGTCACTCCCCAGAACAGAGCTGTGGCCTTGAGCCATGGTAATTCCCTACTTTAGAGTAGGCTGAAGTGCAAAGGCTGGGGGCTTGGCATTATGGATAGCTTGCTGTTCCTAAGACAGCCCATTTTTTTCTTTCCCCTCCATGGCCCTTGGGGTGCTCCGCTCCCTGCCTTTGCTTAACCAGGGAATTCCCTCCTTCCTTTCCTGTGATGGCTGCCAAATTGGAATTTGGCACCAGCTCTGAGGTCAAGACTGGGCCAAAAGGTGGAGGGTACAGGGTCAAGGCCCAAGAGAGGTTGCCTTGGGAAGACGGGGCTTGTGCAGCTTCAAGTCCTGGGCTGCATTCCCATGCTGGAGCAAACAAGAGGCTACTTCTTAGGAACCTGGGTGCTAGAGTGGAGCAGTTAGGGTTGAGGAGGATTGGAGATCAGAATGGGCAGCCGGCCAGTCATGGCAGCTGGGACAAAGCCTTCAGAGTGCTAATTCACTTCCTATTTACTCTGCCAGGAAGACACCTATGAGAGCGATGCCAAAAGTAATGTGAAGTCAGTCATTTAGTAGATGTCAGAAGGTGACTCAGCCCACATAGGTCCCAAATTAATTCCTCGTAATTATTGTCATTGGGAGTAGTTACCTCTCTTTACTTCCCCTTTCTTATCTGGACTGATTGCAACTTAGTACAATCAGCTGTGGCTGCCTAGAGATCTTTTTTTCTTTTCTTTCTCTCAGTATCAAGCCACATATCCCTTCATTTTCCTTTCAATGTTCCAGATGGGATTAATTTTACTCCTATCTTATCCCACCAAGCCAGTCTGGTCTGGCTACACAATGACCCTGAAGAAAGAGGAAGAGTTTGGAACTGGAATCATAGGCAGGTACTAGTAATGAGAATGTTGGACCTTTTCAGGTATGAGGAGCCTATGTGGCAGCTGCCAATAAGAACACAACTTTGAGTACGTTGTGACTCAGTAAAAGCACAGAAGGGCAAAATCTTATTTTTCATATCTTGAGCCGGAAGCATCATAGCGAAACCACTCCCACCCCATTGCCGGCAATGGCAAAAAAGTCGCGATATGCCACGACACTTCACGTAACTTTGCGAGTTTGACACCCCTGACGTACACAAACAACTTTCTGGTACTTAAAGTTGCAAAGATAGACTTGAAACCATGTGATCCCAGAAACAAGATTTGCAGTGATTATAGAAACTGGATTTCTGTGTGCTATATAGCTCTGCACCCTTCCCCGTGACCAGCAAAACCGGAAAATCTACGTAAAATAACAATATCCCCTCAATAAATTATACAGCATAAGATCACACAAACACGGTCAATTTGCATGATTTATATAGGTCACTGGATTCTGTAGTGCACAATTTTTCACTTCATTAATGCACAGTGCACCAAACCAGATTCAAGCTACTGTCTATATACATACAGTATGTGTGGAATATATATGCTGAAAAACTATCGGGTTCTCTGACTTCCTACTCATATCACATGTAATCTGCAAAAGAAGTTCAGTATAAAACGAAGAAAAAAGACATGGCTTTGAGTGGTCAAGATGAGATAACTTACTGTTTCTCACAGTAATAATTCTCTTTGCTGTAACTGCCTACCCTCCTTCTCTTCAACAACCTACTCTGCTCCTTATTTTTCCAGAATTCTCTACAATTCTTTCCCATCACATTTTCTGTAGAAAAAAATGTATAGTATTCAGAGAAGAGAAGGAAGTAAATAGCCCAATGAGTATCATGTACTTATTCATCAATTAATGGATTTCAGTGCTATGAAACTAGGGGAAATTTTCAATCCACAATACCAGACTGCATATCTAAAGCAACACACACATTCCAGTGCTGCTTCTACAATCTTGATTCCTCTAAGCCAGGAGTATCAAACTGCCGGCCCAGTGGGCCGGATGCATCATGGTGAAACTGCGCCCACTCCATTGCCGGCAATGGAAAAAAAGTCGCGATGCGTTGCGACACGTCACTCGACGTTGCGAGTTTGACATCCTTGCTCTAAGCACTAAAAACCACCCTTCTCCAACCACCTCAGTGGAAATTCATCTTTCCCCAAATATAGCAATACTTCTGCTGTTGTGACTTGAGTGGTCTGAGCAAGCGCTGCCCTGCACTTCTTGTGGCAATCTCTTTTCAAGTAAAATGCAATGAGCCCAGCTAAAAGAGGTGATTGTCCCAAAGCCCCCTCTGAAGCTAGTGAAGTAATGAGTTGCAGCAAAAGCAGCAGCCAGAAAGTTGCTGGAAGGCATGAGAAATCTAGGAATGTCTCCTCCCTCTCGTAGAGCAGCCACGGGACATGTGGGAGGGATACACAATAATTATGCTATATTCTCCTCCTCCCCCACAGAGAAATATGTAAAGGAGGGTTTGTTCAATGTTCTGTGATCTGTTTAGCCTCTTCCAAGCAAGAGAATTCACCACTGTGTGGCTGTCCCCCTAGAAATATCTTCTCCGTGTGAGCCTGCATATGCCTCTATAAAGAGGATATGCTTTAGATTCCTTCTCAAAAGATAGTTTAATTTACCAGTCATCCGGGTAAGGATCTACCATTACAGAGCAGTGGTCCAGTTTAGTTTGAGTCTCCATGTGCCACAGGAAATCCTGGAAATCTATTTGTACTTCATATAAAGGGTTGGGATACAGCATGATACAATGCTCTCTGCTTTTTATGGTTTTTTTTTTTTAGTGCCCTCCAATTTTTATGTCCAATTTTCTCCAAAACAAATGGGCAAGCTGCCTTGTGGGCCTTGATTAAGCAAGGAGTAAATGTATTCCTGTGCATAAGTGTTTAGTAACTCTGGCTATTCTTATATGTGTGGGGAGAAATTTGTTCTCCCTTTTTTTTCACAGCTATCACAAATCCATCTTCATCCAAGCTGCTTCCTGAGGAAGCAGTAAAATTCAATAGAAGCCAGATGTTTTGGCAGCGCATTCCTGCTGTGCCCTCTTGCTCCTGAGAGATGGGAGGAAGAGGGGTCGAGTTCTGTGTTTGAAAGTCAGAAGAAGTAAGAACCTTTATGAATACCAAGCCTTAAGACAGCGGCTTCAAGGGAAAGGCGCCAGGCCATAAAAAGTTACACCTGCCAACTTGTTCCCTTCATATACTGTGCTACAACCTTCAGGGAATATTGATGCAGTAAGCCTTGTTTACAACAAAGAAACTCTCCGTTCCTGAGGATCAAGGCCAGAGTTTGCCCTACTGCTAGCAGAGTTAAGCTCTCTGGAGCCTCCCCTTGTTGAGGCATGGAACAGAATATGCCCTAACACCTGCCTTGAACTTTTCAATTGATCTGGAACTTCAGGTGTGATAGGAAATACCAGTTCGGTATGTACCCGTCCAGTCCCATCTGTGCAATTGGAATGTGTTTGGCTTATTCTGTTAACTTTTGCCTCAGGTGATAACTTCTCTTGGGCTGGCTCTTATCAGGCAACTTCCAAATTTCATCTTACAGTGCACTGTGCAAGGTGAATACATGTTAACATAATTTGGGGGTGGTCATGTAAACTTGTTAAAGCCAAATGTATCCTCCTGACCAAAAATATATGGGCTGTTGATGTATGTGAAAGATGTAAGGGTAAGTGAGAAGCAGCTCGAGAATGCATCCAGAAAGTAAATGAGAGGCAAGCAGGATGCCTAGATGGGCAAGTGGGCCAGAAATATTACTACCTACAAAAGTGATTTTTAGGTAGCATATTGCCTCTGACAGTTTACCTAGAGCAGAGGTGGGGAATTATGACTTGTGGACTTCAACTTCCTGAATTCCTGAGCCAGCATGGCTGGCTCAGGAATTCTGGGAATTGAAGTCCACAAGTCATAAAAGGGCCATAGTTCCCCATCCCTGACCTAAAGAATGTCATCATCACTGAGGAACTGATTGTAGGGTGCCCATCCATAGTAATCTTCCTCCAAAATGTTGTCCTATGTAGTGTTCTGGTATAAAGAGAAAGTCTAGGAGATTCAGGTCTACGTAGGATATCCAGGACGGGCCCAACTACATCTCCGTTACCAAGAGGAGGAAATACAGTATTAGGCCAAGTTATAACTCATACAGTACTTGGTAATATTTATGGAAATATTTTTCATTTTTCTGTAACAGTATACTTTGATTTCCAAATCTTGTGAGTGTCTAGCACTCACCAAAAGCTTAGTGTTTAGTGTACACTCGGATGTATCGATAGTAGAGTTGGAATATATTTCTTGAGCTTTTTATACCTTGTATTTTCACAACAAAAAATCACAGTCTTGTAGAGTAACAATGCAAGGGAGATGTAAACAATTATTACAAATGATATTACACTTTACAGTGAAGAATAGTAAAGCAGATACAATATCCAATTCTTAAATAAGATGGAATAGTGTGTTTTCACACTAACAATAACCATAACTTACTTCCTTCATATTAATTGTTTCATTTTCTTCTAAAATAAAATATAACATCTTTGTTTGCTGAACTTTTAGAAACCACTCAGGTTTCTAATTTGCTTCAAATACCCAACTTCAGAAATAAATTAATGCACATGTTTAATTGCTACTGTCTCCATTTTTACAATTAGGCCTGGAAAGAGCTGTCATGTTTGAATAGTCTTTCTTCATTCAGAACTTACAACACTCTTCACTGTGAGTTAAGCCAGTAAATGAAGAATGGAGGAGTCAAACATGGCAACATTTTCCAAGGCCTAACTGAAAATGGAAAAAAGGGCAAGTCAAACAGATGCATTTATTTATTTCTGAAGAAGGGCTATTTGAGCCATTTGTAAAGTTCATTAGAGTAGAAAGAGAGAATGGATTAGTTACAAAATAAAAGTCATGATTTATACCATATAGGAAGTGTTTATGCCGACTGTACTGTTATGCTGAAAACATGTTATCCCACTTTTGGGGATTTGTATTTTGTAGTCTGGATCTGCTTTATTGTATGAACATTAGACTTTGGATGTTGATACTCAGGGAGGTTTGTGTTTCTTTATGTGAAGTGATATCTCAGGAATGATCAGTCTATGCATAGACAAGGGGAAATATATCTAGTTGGAGGTAAAAGATCACCATAATAATAATAATCATGATATATGACCCCCACAACAATGAAACCTGGGTCCAGAAGATGTGTGAGTAAATATCTAATGTATACCCATAACATATCTATCAGCTTGCCATGGTTGGCTGTAAATAATGATCTAGCAGCCTAAAATATACAAGTTTAGATAAATGGAACTAAAAGAGATCAGGTCTTTTTACAGGTATGCTGTATGTTTGTTGGAGGCTGTTTCTATCAAAAATGCTTAGATCCTGGGCCTGTATGGCTTCTCTATTGCTCATCTATCTGAAATGAACTTTCTTTCTCCAACTTGTCTGTTCTTTTTTCATTCACAGGTCTGTAAAAACTAGCCTATCCGTACTGTGTACAGAGCTGAGGGCTGAGGGGGAGCCCAAGAAGAAAAAACGGAAAATATCAGAAACAACTTACAGCGGCATCAAAAGTTCCCAGGTGAGTAAACCTTAATATCTTTCTCTTTCTGTCTACACTGCATTTGGAGACAAAATAACTTGCTGCCTTTAGAAAACCAAGACAGCCATATTCTTTCCATGGTTTTAAAACCAATTAGACGGTGATATTCACATCAGCTATGAGAATTTAGGGCCCTAAGATGAACCAAGCTGGATGGGCAGATGCTCTTTTGACAGATGTGAGAGGAATATTCACATCTTTTACATCTTACATTTTATGGCACATCTCTCCCCTGCTGTTTACTAGAATGAGTTATGCTTATTTACCTGGCTTCAGAATTTGCGGAGCCCAATTAATAAACAAGTAGAAGTATAAAAATAACATTTGATCTTAAGTTTCTCACGAGGCTTAGGGAGCATTGGTCATTGTTTTCAAGTCTTTTATTACCTTAAAAAGAAAAAAAAAGATGAACATTACTTGTCAGCAAACAAAATAGAAACCAGGTGCATGCAAATAAGACCATAAGGGTAGAATTTTCTTGCCAACAGAGCAGTTGGTGTAAGTTTCAGAATCTCATTGAGATAACATTAAACAAGATTCAGTTACAGGTAGTATCCATTTTATCTATTAGTTAGCCATTTTTATTTTTGTGGAGTTTTTTTGTATTAGGTATCCATTTTTATCCATTAGTTATAGGTCAGTGATGGCAAACCTTTTAGAGACCGAGTGCCCAAACTGCAACCCAAAACCCACTTATGCATCGTCGGTTGCCGGGTGGGTGTGGCCAATTGGGTGGGCATGGTTGCGATGGTAATGGAAGACTAGGTGGGACTAAAAAATTCAATCAATCAATTCCAACTTTGCAAGATTTTTTTTCCCACAAGAAGTTGAAATTGACTGACTGATTGAACTTTTTTTTTTTTTTTTTGCACACGGCTCTGGAGGCCTAAAGCAAAAAGGTGTTATAAAACCCAGCTGAAGGCCTAGCACTGGGGCGACGATGGGTGTGCCCACGGAGAGGGCTCTGAGTGCCGCCTCTGGCACCCGTGCCATAGGTTCGCCACCACTGTTATAGGTAGTATCCAGTATCCTCACTATTGGTGATAAGAGTCAGATAAGAAAAACCAAGAAAGTCAATTCTTTCCAAGTTCCCAATTCTAACATAGATTTCCCTCCTTGAGCAAGAGAGAAATAAAAGGCAATAAGTATACTGTGCCTTTTTTTTTTACTAGCGGTAACGTTTTTACTTTTTTGCTTTTTTTTTTGCAGGAGAAAGTGCGTTGCAAGAAGAGCAGTTCACAGAGCAAGTTGGCTTCCACGGTAGTACACAAGGCCTCTCATCTCAAGCAGAAAGTCAAAAGCAAAGTCTTGCCCACGAGCATTGGTCCCTTCCGACGGAAAGAGCCGATCCCTTGCACCCGTATCCAGAAGAAACTTTCTCGAGCCAAGAGCTCCAAAGCAGCACCTCCCAAATACCCACAGCAGGATCTCACTCCCTCAGAGGCCAAGCCTAGCACAGGAAATGCTGAAGCAGGTAGAGACTCAAGACTGGAGGTCTATGGAGATCTCAATCCTCCAGATCACGGTTGAATCAGAGGTGCTTTTCCAAGAAGGCAACTGAGCTTTCTTGGTTTGTTTGTTTTTTTTCTCCCTTGAAAATGTTTCATTTCCCATCCAAGAAGAAGAAGCTACTTGAACTGGAGAAGCTTCTTGGATGAAAAGCAAAGGAAGAAAAACCAAGAAAGTCCAGCTGACTTTCAGAAAAGCACCTTTCGGGCATTCAGATTGAAGGGGAGCATCACTTGGCACCTGGGAAGGAAAGATGATAATGGGGAAACAAGAGAATGCTATTCGCAACCCTGCAGTTGTGAGCATGTTCTGTCTGTTGCTGCTGAAAAAGGACTTGGGCCTTGGGACAAATGATGTTTACCTGCATAGCAAAAAGGGGATTAGTGTCCAGTGGATATTTTCTGAGCTCCAGACCATTTAACAGGCCTCCCAAGTATTCGTCTCTCCACCGTGCTACTGAGGAAGTGCAAGTACAATTAGCTTCTCCCAGGCCCGTTCCCAGGCGAATCCACCCTTCTACAAAGCTCTTATCTTCAGCTCTGGTGAGGAGCTTGCCACATAGCATATTTCCTGCTGGCAAGCAGAGGAAACGCTGGAATTTAAAAATAGCTGCACATGATGTCCTCTAATGGGGCCAATGTCCGCTCTCGTTTGACTGCAGGCTTATGGCTTCCCCTGAAGCTCCTGGGGCATCTTATCAGGAAAGCAATGCTGAGACAGAAATCCTGCTTCCACTCCCCAAAGCCAAAAGAACAAAGACTCATTGTCAAAGGGGCAAGAATCAGGATATAAAAGCCAGGATTGAAAGGGGGGTTTATAGCCAGTTCAGTTGGGAGGCTGACGTCGAAGGAGGGAATAGCTCAGCCAAAACATATTCAGAGTTCTTGGATTGTTGGCTGGATTTTTTTTTTAATAACCTTTACTCCGTTATTTTTACTCACTATACCAATACAATTTTACCAAATCCTTACACCCCAGGCCTTGCAGCAATAACCAAAGCCAGTGAGTCCTAAGTGGTGCATTGATATGAGGGTCACACTACCAGCAGAGAGAGATTTGAAAAGCCTCAATCCTTTTGATAGCTCTGTGTTAAGATATTAACCTTAGAAAGAATGCAGCGACGGCCTTGGTTTTACTTTGACGGTAGAAATAAGTGGTTTATAACGTTAGAATGGTGAAGCAAAGTATCAGAATCCTCTTCTTCTCCTCTTGAAGTGGCCTCTTTTTTCCTCTTGCCTCAATTTGTCTTGACTCTTCTTCTCATTTACAGATGACAATCACCACAGAGACTATCAAAGTGACGGTGGTGGTGATGGTGGTGGGGATGATAACTTGAGTGACAACAGCTCCCCCATCCATGTAACAGTGAACCCTCCTGTAATTGGCCCTTCTCCTTCCTCTGTGGTGAAAATGGAGGCAAATCAGAAAGCCAAGAAGAAAAAGGAGAGGCAAGGATTGCTAGGTAATGAAATGAATGGAAAGAAAGCTCTCTTGGTGAATTGCTGAATCTATCCAAGCTGATGAAGGGAAGGGCAATGAAGCTTCCTGAACGTCATGAAGAAATGGCTGAAATTATATCCAGCCCTTCTACCTCCTGTCATAATATTTTGTTTGATTTATGTTTGAGGGTATATGCACAGCAAGATGGCAGTGAAAGATCTTCCTGGAACCAACTGTTTCTATGTTACACTGCATCCTTCTTTTAAGCTCAAGGGGCATTTAGATTCTTTAAAAAGCAGATTCTGCTATTACATGCTGAGCCACAATTCTTTAAAAAAAAATGATAGCATTGGCCAATCTCACAAATTGCTAATTGATAAGATTCTACCCAAAATCAGCTTAAATTGTGTCACGTTTGCCTGAAGTGCAATCTGCATAAGCAAAGAGAAGCATTGGCTTATGCACTGTTCTGCTTTGCCTAATTTTTTTCATTGCTATAATCTCTGGATCTTCCTAGGGCCCTGTCGAATCCCCAGTCCTGAAGGCCAAGTGAAAATAAAGAGGCGGGCAGTGAAGCCAGGCTTAGGGAGGTTGGAAAAAGTGCCGGTATGCCGAGCGGGATCTTGTGAGAATTCGAGCAAGAAAAAACTAAAGAGCAAAGCCAAGGAATTTCACTGTGGACCCGGAACATCAAGCACCGGTGAGGGGCTCTTCTCCAGCAGCCAGGCCCGCTCATTTGCAAATCGTGACGATGCAGGAAAACTCAGCAGCGAACGCCTCAAGAAAGCCACACGCAAGAGCAAAGTCCTGCAATCGGCCCTCAGAGTAAGCCGGGGCAGTAAGGGGTCCTCAATGTAAGAAGGATTGTGAGGATCTGTTTTGGGAGGAGTCAAGGGGTACATCGGGTAACAGCAGACCTTCCTCAACAGAACCATCTTTTGGCTGAACTTAAATGATATCATAAAGGGCCACTAAGGAAGAGGAAAGGGTCTTTTTCCAGATGTAACCGACAACTTAGCTACATGGCAGTATGCTAAACATTTGTCCACTGCAGTGCTGTATTTGATTATTTTATCCTCATTTTCTTTCGGCAGAGAAAAAATGGAGCACTGACCCTCTCTCCTCGCAATGCCAAGGCCATCCTCAGCAAGGGCAAGAAGCTGTCTAAGGTTAAGAACAAGGTGGTCAGCAAGCAGGTAGGAAATGTGAAAATGCCTGCAGTAGTGCAGGTCTTGGATAGGTCAGATACAGCTGACCTTTTATTATCCAGAATAAAGAAGGCAAGCAGATGGTCAGGGCACTTTTCAGGCACCATTGTACCTTGAAAAGCGGTATTAAGATAGTCTGCGAAATTTTAGCAATTTCATCCCTGAAATCTCATGAGATTTCAATTCTCTTATCTGAAAACTTCTACTAGTGGGTTCTTTATGTGGTGTGTGGGTGTGGCTGTGTAAAATAATAGCCCATTTGTAGAAGTTTTCAGATAAGAATATACATGTGCATGGGGCCCTCCACCGTCAATGTGAACAGATTGCTGGCATAGCATCCTGCTCCTTTTATTCCAAGCTAAGCCCTTCAGTCAAAAACCAGAGTGATGCTGTGGATTAAGAATGAATTGAGGCTAGAACAATTCTTGTTTAATCCATTCTTGGCCTAGCCAATTTAACCTTCGTCTTGTGCATAAGAGGCATGCCTTTGTAAAACAAGGAAATATATTTTGCTTTGCTGTGCAGTGCAAAGGCCGGGCAGTCAGTCGGCTGATGGAAAGTTTTGCCATTGAGGATCATTTTGAGTTTGATGACAATAGCAGCTTCTCTGAAGAGGAGGAGATGCCACCCACTGGTACGGAGGAAGATATGACCTCTGGTAAGTCACCGCACACACCGTGACCAAAGAGTACCCTTGGGGGGGGGAGCAGTTAACAAGGCCTAGTATGGTCCAGGTGAAAGAACTACTATTAGCCATTTAATGCAGTGGTCAAGAACAAAAATAAACAAGGATAATGATGAGAAGAAGCATTACAGATGGAATATGGTGGGATTGTATAGCTCCTAAAGCGAACTCTGAAGGCAAGATAAAGGTAGCTCAGAAAATTGAAGTGGGTTGTGCAGATCAAACCTGGATGGTGCCGTGTAGTCCCTACTTCAGGCTTGAATTCTTCAAGCTTTGACCTCTGCCTGAAGTTTCCAAATATAAACAAATGAGGAAGAGAATTAACCATAGATTCATGCTTTGTCTTATGGTTGCAGCCCAGTCCTGTACCATCCTCAAAGAAGATCTTCAGGATGGACTGCGTGTGCTTATCCCCAAAGAGGACAGTCTGCTCTACGCTGGCAGTGTAAAGAGTCTGCAGCCACCTGACATGTAAGGACCTGATGCCTAAGCATAAATATAGCAAAGGATACCGTAGAGATTTTTCAAGCTCAGTTGGCTCCATTGCTGTTGATACTGTATAATGCAGTGATTCTCAATCTGTGGGTCGGGACCCCATTTGGGGTCGAACGACCATTTCACGGGGGTCGCCAAACAAGGCTGTCCGCCATTTTCCCCCCCTTTGGCCACGCCCCTGGCACCCGGTGATGTATAAGTGGTTGGGGGTCACCACAACATGGGGAACTGTATTATGGGGTCGCGGCATTAGAAAGGTTGAGAACCACTGGTATAATGCATCTATCACTTAGGACTGTAGGCATTTCCTTTTTTTGCATTCCAAGACCTTCTCTTCTATCCCTTATTCTCCCACATCTTTATAATGCTTATAAAGAACTGCAGTAACTGATCACAAGAAACCCAGGTACTTTCTTCTTACAGTAATTAATCCAAGTCTTGCAACCTGATTCCTCTTCCTTATGAGTTTCTTGTAAGATCTTAAGGAAACTATTACTCTTCTTCATCAAAAGAAACTAGTATGCATGGAAGTCAAAGCATTTTGCTGGATCTAAAGCAGGAGTCCCCAGCCTGTGGGCCGCAGCCCACTACAGGGCTGTGGCCTGCTGGTCACCGGGCCACAGAACAGGCTGGCCAGTGCGCGCACCCCCACTCACACTAGCGCCACTGCTGGTAGGAAAATGGTGCCGCGCAGCAAAAACGGGGTGCTGTACGGCAAAAACAGGGTGGTGCTAGCAAGTGTCATGCGGACGCTAGCACTGCCCCATTTGTATGCATGTGCATGTGTGCATAATATGCTTACCATCCCTTTCCCTCCGGTCCACCAACCAAGAAAGGTTGGAGACCTCTGATCGAAAGTATGATTCATGGGAAATATTCAAACACTGGGGGGGGTATTACCTGTAAATAAATCCTATTGAATTCTGTGAAACTTGGGGGCAAAAAGCATGAGTAAATATATATATGAAATTATTTAGTGTTCTTAGTTATAGGGTGGGAAGTGGGAGTTACTATTCAGCACGTTGGAGAGTAGAGCGGTGTAACACTTCTTTCTTCTTAATTTTTAAACACTTACATACTAACACTCTTACTAATCTGGGAACTAAATAGTCAGCACCATGCACTTTTTTTTAGTAATTAGTAATAGTAAAGTTGGAAGGGACCTTGGAGGTCATCTAGTCCAACCCCCTGCTCGGGCAGGAAACCCTACACCATTTCGGACAAATGGCTGTCCAGTCTCTTCTTAAAAACTTCCAGTGTTGGAGCATTTACTGCTTCTGGAGGCAGGCTGTTCCACTGATTAATTGTTCTCACTGTAAGGAAGTTTCTCCTTAGTTCTAGGTTGCTTCTCTCCTTGATTAGTTTCCACCTGTTGCTTCTTGTATTGTGCTAGTTCAAAAGGGAGGATCAACAGACTATCTCCTGCCCACCAAGAATTGAGCTTCTCATTAAATAACTATCAAAATTAAACAAGTTAGCTTCTCCTCTATCTCTTCAGATCATCATCTGTATAAATGCTTGTCTCTTATTTGTTCCACAGCTACAGCATTGTCATTGAGGGAGAGCGAGGGAATAGGCAGAGAATCTATTCCCAAGAGCAGCTGTTGCAGGAGGCGGTAAGTCTCAGGAAACTAGAGCCTGTGATTAATCAGGCTGACTGTGGGTATGGGCAGGGGGAGAGAAGCTGGACTCCCAAGAGTAATACCTACAAGACTTACTTGAGGGATAGGGGGCAGAAAGTGTAATTTTCTTTTGCAAATGTGCATGGATTTACTACACCAGGTATTTCTTGCTCCTGATTTAATGACTATAATTGGGACCAGAATTTCCAGGACTAGGCCAAGTGAAACATCATGTGACTGCACTGCTTAGTAGCGTTAATCCTTGTTCTGTCAGGCAAGAACTTCACACTTCTGTCTTGCATGAAGTGCCAGCTCCATCCTTGCTTTCTCTCTGGCTTGACCCAGAGAGTTCCCTTCAGCAGACAAGGTTCCACCACCCTGCTGTGGTTGACTCCAGCTCCCCCACCTGCCTATTTACCCCCCATCTCTGCCCTTTTGTCCATCCTCCACCACTGTCATCTGCAGCCCCCATCTGATTTCGACCAAGGCCGATGCTGGCCTTTTGCAATGCCTCACGGCTGATTGTATCTCTTCAAAAAATACAGAAAATGGTGAAGGTCGGTTGGGGGCAGCAGGGGGTATCAGGGTAAGCAGTGGGGTGCATGGTAACCAAAAGGGCAGAAATGTAGAGAGATAGGTGGGTCTGAGAGGAGTTGAAGGGCACACGGTAGTCATAAATGTGAGTAGTCTGCCAAACGCTCAAATTTGAACACAGGGCACTGCAGCGGCCTTAACTAAGGGCTGAACTTTACTGCCTTTTGTCCTGTGCATTGTAACTTCAAATGGTGCCTAAATAAATGGTCGTGAAGTGAGGACTGCCTGTAAAGAGAGAGTTTGGAATGGTCATGGCTTCCGGATAATAGAGATTTAGGTAGGTTGAAAAAAAAAAAAAGAACACATTCTGAGAAGAATACAACGATATTTAGGTGAATGAATCAAGTTGCACTAATTGACCTGTCTTCTAGAATGGATCCTTCAGCACCTCACAGCTGGTGGGAGCAATCATGGGGCCTATGTGAGTTGCAATTACCTCCAGTGCCTTGAATGTCTGTGGCGATTCTCAATCCTCCAGATCAGTGTTTCCCAAACTTGACAATTTTAAGGCATGTGGACTTCAACTCCCAGAATTCCACAGCCAGCGTTGCTGGTGTGGAATTCTGGGAGTTGAAGTCCCCATGCCTTAAAATTGTAAAGTTTGGGAAACACTGCTCCAGATGATGGTTGTCCCAAAGGTGTTTTTCCAAAAGGCAAGTGGACTTTCTTCGTTGTTGTTTTTTTCCTTGAAAACGTTTTACTTCTCAGAACTGAAGAAACTTTTGGGATGAGAAGCAAAATGTTTTCAAAGGGGAAAAAAAAAAACCAAGACAGTCCAGTTGCCTTTTGAAAAAGCACTTTTGGGGCATGCCAGAGTTTCTGGAGGGCAGGATATTCATGGACACTTCTGTGTATTCGTTTGTGAATCATACTGTGCATATAAGTATAAAGGGACATGCAGGCCTCTCATTTCCTAGATGCAGCCTTTCGGAAGACAATTCTACAGTCAGATATAGTCAAATGCCAAGAAGTTCCTACGCAGAGCACATCAAGCCATGGCACAAAATAAAACATAAAAATCAAGACTGTATACCGTTACAGAAAAGTCAAATACTCTTAATTCATATTTATCCCAATAAAATATTTGGAAAACATTAGGTTTGAAGAACAAGAAGCCTTCTTGCTGGAAAAACAGGAAAGGCAAAAGTGAAAGTAGTTGTTTGGTGACCATGAGAAAAGAGCAGATGCCAAAAGAAGGCACAAAACCATTGCAATCTGCAATTTTTCTTGGTTGAGCTCAAGCTTAATTGTAACCATAATTGCGTGATGAAATAAAATAAGCTAAGGTTGATACTTTAGTGTCTGAGAAGGTGGTGCTCTACTGTATATGCCAATCGTGCCCTTTGTTTATCTCCAGGTTCTAGATGTACAGCCACAGTCAAGTCGCAGTCTTCCACCTGGCACACGGGTCTGTGCTTATTGGAGCCAGAAGTCTCGCTGCCTCTACCCAGGCAATGTCATCCGAGGTGAGCAAGCTGGTAAATAATAACCTCGTAACGGGGAATAAGCAAAAGTATACTGTAAGCAACCAGATCACGGGGTCAGACTTCTTCTGTGCCTACAGCAGTGTTTCTCAACCTTGACCATTTTAAGGCATGTGGACTTCAACTCCCAGAATTCCACAGCCAGCATTGCTGGCTGTGGAATTCTGGGAGTTGAAGTCCACATGCCTTAAAATGGTCAAGGTTGAGAAACACTGGCCTACAGTGAAACTGGCCTGGAAGGTAACATGGCTTCTGTCCACAGGGTCTTCAAGTGACGAAGAGGAAGACGCGGAGTCAGTGTTGGTAGAATTTGATGATGGAGACACTGGCCACATTTCGTTGTCTAATATCCGCATGTTGCCACCCGACTTCAAAATCCAGTGTGAGTGTGCTTGAATGGATTAATGCTAGAATTATAGTTAGCAGGGTTTCCTAGCCCTCATGAACCCATCTGCCAGTGATTCCAGTTGATACTGTTTTGCTGGGGGCCTTCAAAAATTAAATTGAAATATTACCTAAGATTCTAAGAGCCATTCTTTGGGCACAAAATGTGTCTTGACTTTCTGTGCAGTGGGGTGGGGAGGACCTCGCCTATCTCAGGTGGGGAAATCTAATGTGGATATCGACAAAGTACAGGCAGTCCTTGACTTACAACCACAACTGGGATCGCAAAGTTTTATTATTAACCAAGCCTGGATGTTAAGTGAGGCATCGTGTTAAGTGATTTTATGACCTTTTTTGCTACAGCAGACTTATGGCCTTCCCCGCTGCCTTTCCCCCTTGACTTTGCTTGTCAAAAGCCAGGTGGGAAGATCGCAAAAGGTGATAATGTGATCCTAGGACAAGGCAATCGTTATAAATTTGAACTGGCTGCCAGGTATCCAGATTGCAATCACATAATTGCAGGGACGCTGCGATGGTCATAAGTGCAAGAACTAATCGTGCCCTCTTTTTAAGTGTCATCATAACTTCGAACAGTCACTACACAAATGGTTGTAAGTCAAGGACTACCTGTAGAAGGCTTGGGAGGCGAAGAGAGTCAAGAGCAGTTTCAAGAGCAATATTGGTATTTATCGGGCGCAGCAGGAGAACTCAAGGAGCAGCTTAATAACTGACCAATATAGTTATTATAGCATTAATCTTTTGTGGCCTCATAGAAAGTTTCGTCATACTCTAAGCTGGAGAGAAGCAGATGCTTGAAAGCAGAAGTCAGAGGAAAGTGAAATCTAAATGAGATGAGATAGTGATCTTTCATCTGAATCTGCCCATGACACTTCTACCTTAATCCTTCCATAGGCACAGAGCCTTCTCCTGCGTTATTAGTCTCCACCTCCTGCCGTCGTAACAGAAGGTCTTCCAGTGATGTTCCCCATTCCAGTGAATCAGCACCAAGCCTTTGTGCTGAGGGATGTGAAGTCTCTGAGTCAAGCACAAGTAAAAAGATGATCAGCAAAGAAAAGACTGGTAAGTTAGTTTCTTTTGCATTTTTTTTTTTCAAGATTATACTGAGAATCGTGGCTGGTCAGAGACTGAATTTTATATTTATTTTAAATTTGGGTATTGTCTTTTAAATGTCTATATTCAGTTGCCAACCTACAGAGATGACAAAAAATACATCTCTGATTCAAAATAAATCCTCATTCATTTAAAAAGAAGGGAAGTGAAAAATATAATGTAAAAATGGATTGTCAGGCAAAATTCAACATTCCATTACGTATGCATTTTTATAATACTCTATATTGATTAAAACAAACAAAAAAGACAAGACCACAGCCCTAAATTACAATATCACTAAATAAACAAAATTGAACATTAGCAAAAACATAATTTTTTTATAACAATGAAATAGAAAAGTCATAATAACCTACAGCATTACAAAATATACAAACGTAGGTGTCTCTCAGGTTTAAGATTCTGTTCACTATGCCACAAGAACTTGATGGGAAATGTCTAAAAAAAACGTAGGCAAGGAAATTAAAGCTATAATTAAAAATGGTCTAGATCACATTTAAGAGAAAATAATCAATTACAAGGAAAAATATGTATGCAAGTCCCTATAAACCGTTCACTAGCATCTCTCTGTTTTTCAAATTACAACTGCCTTGAACCAACCTCTTTTCATAACAGTTCAAAACCATTCCTTTGCCCTCTGATAATGGCTACTTCAGCAGCTGCTTTTCTATACATTTTCACTAATTTCAGCCTGGATTCAGGGATCATGTACTAGATTTGATAATATATCGGTGCACCAGTCAGCCTTAGCTCATATCATTAAGAGAAAATGAAATCCATTTAAGGTGAAAGTAATACATCCTGTGTTGGCCATTTAAGACATCCTAAGGAGTTGGAATGATCTGCAGTAGAATGTAGAATTCTTGGTTTAAATAGTTACTTTACTACCTAGGTCTGTCTGTCTCTCTCTCTCTCTATGTCACATATATACACACATGCACACTCACTCTTCCTCCAGAAATGTAACATCTTTTGTTTCAAATGGAATTTGAAAGATCAGGGACATCCAGGGCTTGATCTGAGAGAAAAAGTGAGGATCAGACCTAAGAACTTCTGGGTTCCCTCTTCTGCAATCTGTTTTTTCTAGTTCCAAACCACAAGAAATGAAGGAAGTTGTTTAGGAAAGGCCATATACAGATTTCAACCAGTTCCGTAGCACAGGTGACAGTTTCCACCGGTACTTTTATAACACTGTCCTTTCCCTGCAGGTAAATCTGATATGCTGCATTCAAGTTCAAAAGCCCAGCCTGGAGACCAGTTCTTGAGTCGTCGTAGCAACTCTCTGCTAAGTTGGACGGCTGTGACCCAGAACAAGCGCAAGACATCCAGCAAAGGCACAGCCATGCGGCAAAACCTCTTCCAGCTCAACGGGAGCAGTAAAAAGCTGCGGGCCAAAGAGGTGCTCTTCCCTGTGCACAGTGTTGCTGCCCCCATATTTGGTAATGGCTTTGGCTCCGACTCTTTCAGCCGCATTGCCAACTCCTACTCTGCTTTTGGAAGCTCTGGCCTGATTCTGCCCTGTGCTCAGAAGCTTTTGCGTGCCAAGAAGGTTGAACGGTTGGACACTGAGCTGGGCAAGGCCGGGCGTAGGAAAGTTGGTGGTGAGTATCTTGTCAAGCTGGATCATGAGGGAGTGACGTCACCCAAAAACAAAAACTGCAAAGCCTTACTGATGAGCGACAAGGACTTTGGGTCCCTGTCTGGCCATGGCTATGTTCACCCAGCCTTGGGGATCAAAGAGAAGAAGAGCACACTGCCTATGGGGCTGGCGTTGCGCAAATACACTGGTCAAACTGAGTATGGGCTGCACTGCGACAGTGATTGTCACAGCTCTTACTCAGACATGGACGAAGATGAGGTGGATGATCTGGCAGGCAGTGTCCCCTCCCGCTTTCTGACACGGCTTTCAGTCTCGTCTTCATCTTCTGGATCATCCACCTCCTCCAGTTCTGGCTCTGGCTCCACTTCTAGCCTCTGCTCATCCGACAATGAGGACTCTTCATACAGCTCTGATGACGAGGACTCCACGCTCCTTGTGCAGACCTGTCTCACACACCCAGTTCCAGCCTTGCTGGCTCAGTCTGAAGCCCTACGCTCAAAGAGCAGCACCTTGCAGAGGTGTTTTGGCGCTGGGGCCAAGAGCAAGCTCAGGCGCAAAGAAACTCTGAGCTTCTCAAAAGCCAAAGAGTTCTCCCGCCGGCAACGGCTGCCCTCGGTGGAAAACCGGCCAAAGATCTCTGCTTTTCTGCCAGCCCGCCAGCTCTGGAAATGGTCTGGGAACCCCACTCAGGTATGGAAAATGTCAGGATTCTGTGTGATGAGTCTGGACTATATAATGCAAGCTGGGGGAAATGGCTTGAATTTGCTCTGTCTGCTAATGAAAACGATACTATTGAAGGTAGTTCTGGAAGGTTTTTGGCCTGAACTCTTGGGACAGAGCTAGGAGGAAATGCTGGAAGGAAGTGATTCATGCGTTTGGTTATTGATCCCAGTCACTCGGTGATTTCTGAAAGGAGGGGAGGCTAAACTTGGGAAGCTTCCTCCCAGCTTCAGACTATCTTCCTGTTGGTGATCAGAAAGGAAAGACCAATTTCCCTTTCTCTAGTTGTTGACAAAAGAACTGTAAATTCCTGTTTTCACATTGTTTTAAGGCTGACTAGTTGAAATGCTAATGCCGCAGTCTTCAGCATACTTGTTCAGGATGTCCCAGTCAAAACAAGCAAACCTGCTTATTCTATGAATATTTGGGCTGTGCATTGTGCTGAGCACATATGCAAGAAGGCACTTAAGTGCTCATATCCACATGCCTTTAAAGCAGCTGCACAGTTCCCCAGAATTGCTGAGCGTCCAAGATACAAATGAATATCTGCATCAGTTGTTCTGTACCTCTTTTTGAGCAGAAAACAAACCAAGACGTTCTTCCTTCAGCTATAATCTCCTATTCATGGAAACCTTTACAGAGCTGGAGAAAACATCTTCAGACCATGATTTTATGGCTTGTCCTGAAGCCTTCAAAAAGGAAATCATAGTTAATTGGCACTTCCAGGCTTGTCTGTTCACTCATTGCATGCAAAAAGGAATAAAGCTATGTGCAGGAGAGCAAGGGGGAGGGGTGTTCCTATTTTGACATATTTAACCAAGCAGCCACTGTTCTAACAAGATCTGTGGCTTAGCAGCTGACAGTCAGTAGCCTTCCCTGTTTTAAATAGGATATTTCTAATACTGGCCACATTCTGCAAATGTGCTACCAGTGTAGGATGGGAAAGGGTTATTTTTTCCCAACTAACAGCCTCCCCTGAATCATTTTTCTCCAGAGTGGAGGCTGTTTGTTGCAGCTGTACCTGGCTGGGGCAGATGCAGTGGGCTCCCCTTCGGGGTCTTTCGGACAGCCAAAGCATGGCCATTTCCTGTGAGGTGCCAGACACGCTCTAGGAGGCTTATTCTTATTCCTGGGCTGCACTCCATGTCAGTAAATCCCCTTAGGACAGCAGTACAGGATGTATAAGGCATTTGCCAACCCCATTTGTGTTTCCTTGGTTATCCTCTCTCGGGCCTCCTCAGGCAAAAGCATTGGGGTCTCTCTTGGTAGCAGAGGCTGGTTTTGCTGTAGTTAAGCTCAATTGCTGTCTCGAGGCTCTCCTTGGGAGAGCTTTGTTTCCATGGCAACCCACAGACTCCCTGGAGGATCTCTTCCAAAGGCCTTACAGCCAAGAGGCAGGGGCATCCCGGGTGTCACGCAGGCCACTGCTTATTCTGCTTCTGCATGCTCTGTCCCTGTCCTACAGCGCCGTGGCATGAAGGGGAAAGCACGGAAGTTGTTCTACAAAGCAATTGTACGGGGCAAGGAGATGCTGCGCATTGGCGACTGTGCGGTTTTCCTGTCAGCTGGCCGACCCCATCTGCCCTACATTGGCCGCATTGAAAGCATGTGGGAATCCTGGGGCAGCAACATGGTTGTCAAAGTAAAATGGTTCTACCATCCTGAGGAGACGAAGCTGGGCAAGCGACATAGTGATGGCAAGGTGAGGGAAGAGACCAACAAATGGGGCAGAGGGTGGCCAAACAGGAATGTCCTCCTGGTGCTGGATCAGAAGGCATAATGAGCTGGAGCAGAACAGAAATCAGGACCTGTAGAGAGATCACGGGCTGATTTGCAGTAATTAACCAGGCTTTCTTTAATGACTACAACAACTATTGAATCTTCCTCTCAGATGATGTGGTTGATCCATAACAATTCAGAGGGACACCTCTGCTTTCATTAGTAAATCATCCCTTGATCTGCTTAGTTAGTGGAATTAGTCATTTGCCTTGGCCACAGTTTTTTGTTTTGTTTTGTTTGTTTGTTTCTTTGGGGTTTGCTTGGTTGATTTTGTGGCACCTGTAAAAAGGAAGTAGCTTCTGTAACTCTAGGTTACAGAAGTGCAAAAAGGAGCTATAGAAAACACCTCTTAAGGGGGAATGAACCTGTCATCTCTTCCTCGGTAGCAGCATCTCTAAGTTTACTGTACTCAGCCTATAGTTGTGTACATCTGAGAGTAACTCATTTTAAATTCAGTTGGAACTAAGTATATAGAGCTACCATGTTTCCCTGAAAATAAGACCGGGTCTTATATTAATGTTTGCTCCACAAGACGCACTAGGGCTTATTTTTCGGTTAGGGCTTATTTTCGCCGTCTGGCTGACGATCTTAACTTATTTTGGGGGTGGGGCCAGTGGTGGCATTCAAATATGTGAACAACCGGTTCTCTGTGTGGATACCGCTTCCGGAAGTCCGTCCTGGGCCTGGGCAACAAAAAATTAGCTACCGGTTCTGCCAAAGTGGTGCGAACCAGCTGAATCCCACCGCTAGGCGGGGCTGATATTTCGAGCATCCTGAAAAATCATACTAGGACTTATTTTCCGGTTGAGTCTTATTTTCGGGGAAACATGGTAGTACTTCAGGATTTATTGCCTTTCCCTTTGTTCCTTACATTACCTTTGTTTTGTACACCGCAACATTATAATGTTACAAGGGAAAAGCCAGGAGCCAGAAAACATCAGCATTCTTTGACAAGATTGGTAAACTCCCCCAGCTCCACAGGCGCACATCAATACACACCCCAAACCGATTGGTTTTCCTGGCTTATTTGGTCAGTGCTTTCAACTGGGACACAACCAAGAAAAGATTTGTAGGATGGGAACCATTTTCATATCACTCTGCAAATTCTTTTATAAGGGAAATGTTCAGTGTTTGGAATGTTATAAACGAAAACAAATTGGAGGAGGAAATGAGCCGAGAATATGATTGTGCTTGGCGTGGAAACAGGGGAGAAAGAGAAGTTTTCCTCTATTATCCTACAAAATAAAAATAGTGGCAGGTTCAGCCCTCAGCCACCCGCCTCCTTCAAATACAGTTCAAAATAAGGAACCTCTGGTAAGAGTCCTGCAATATCTGTTCCTTATTCTTTACAGAATGCATGGGCAAATGATAAAAATTACCGCTATAAGATAATGTGACAGACACTACTTGAGGTGAAAAACCAAATAACAGAGACTATCAGTGTCTACTGGCCATGCTAGTCCAGCAGTATAGAGGCAGCTTGCTTTGAAGACCAGTTTTGAGGGAACAAGAGCCCTTCATGCTCTATAGCCAAATTACCAGTAGGTACCTAATTGGCCACTGTGAGATTTAACAGACCTTATCCAACAAGTCTGCTATTCTATTTGTGTAGAGAATTTCCATTATGCTGGGGAATTGCTGTCTTTGTAGAGAATTTTTGTCCCTTAAAAGTGGAAGCCACGTTATCCTTTTAGTCCTTCATGCCTCTTTCTGGTTTCTGCAGAATGCGCTGTACCAGTCGTGCCATGAGGACGAGAATGATGTCCAGACCATCTCTCACAAGTGCCAGGTAGTTGAACGTGAACACTACGAGCAGCTGACCCGGAGCAAGAAATACCAGGATCGGCAAGATCTCTACTACCTGGCAGGAAGTTACGACCCCACTACAGGCCGGCTTGTGACTGCAGACGGCGTGCCTGTCCTGTGCTGAAACTGTGGGACACGACCACTGCTCTAGGGCCAGAAAATGGCTAGAGGGGAGGGCAGAAGGGCCAAGGGACAGTGGAAGGGGCCAGTCTCCTTATATGACTTCCTGGCAGTTGCATGCAAGGCCCGAAAATATGCAAGGTGCCCGGCTTTGCCATGCCGGGGTTGCAGGCTGATCCCGGCTCCCCACATGGTTCTGTACAGAGTTGAATCCAAGCCATACTTTCCCTAGTACCTCTGACTGTTTGCCGCAGGCCAAACACAAATCAGGTTACCGCTCTATTTATTTTATGTGTAAATAATGTATTTCTGGTGGGAAGTTTTATGGAAACTTCCATAAAGGCAGGTTTGGGGAGGGGGTGGGTGGGAGGTGAGGGTCGATGGGTTTAATTTTGTGTTCAATGCACTGTTTTCCCTCCAGCTTAGCTGGGGGTGTGGACGCCAGGCAAGTGTGTAAATATAGAAGGGGGCACTTGAACGATGCGGCAGTGGAGTCTCCAAAAGGCTATGCTGTCCTCACAGGACTGTGTACTATAGACTTGCCTCACTCTTTCTCTCCTACCATTTTTTATTATTATTATTATTATTGTTATTATTAATTATTGTTATTCTAATGATAAATATTCTGACTATGTCTGCGGATGTTAATATGCTCCTGTTAAAGAGAAGATTATATATATTATTATAAAATCAGGATCTTGCATTCTGGTCTCCATCTGGGGATGGGAAATAGATTTAGCTTGATTTATGGCCATAGTTCAGTGACGCAGATCACGCGATACATGCAGAAAAATCTCAGTTCGATCTATAGCATTTCTGACTTTGACTGAAAACCTGGAAAGCCACTACCTTATGTCAGCAACGCTGAGTGAGATGGCCCGATGGTCTCTGACTCAATACAAGCAAACTTCCTATCTTCTATGGGCAGAAACCACTTGACCTGTCACATAAAATACAATTTAATTAAAGGATCTTTTCTGTGCAGGCCCTGCTGGGGTGTCTGAATGGGAAATAGACATCCTCACAAATATCAACTACTAGCGTGAGCAACTCTATAATTTATTTCAATGGGAGTTATGTATGAGTTCCCCCCCCCGTTAGAATGTGGCTATTACACATTGGTTTACCTGACACTATCTCCCTGTGGGAGCAGAATGTACATACAACAAATATAGATGCCATCCTACATTATGAGGCTGAGTGCAAATGCACTTATTTGTGACAACTGGTTTTCTCCCACTCCAGGCAAGTCATCTGTTCGAAGTTGGTTCAGAATTAAGCTTGCCTGAATACAAGTTGTGGCACCTGTAACCGGAATGTCTGATGTAGTCAGTCTCTGGCATTTGGATGACATAACTCTAGACAATCATGGATCAGTAGTTTCAGGGGGAGGAGACAGTAGCTGTAAACGCTTAGGGTTTGTGTTAAGCAAACTGTATGATAAAGGTGAGCAATATGATTCTCCAGATATTGAACTCCAATTCCCATCATCTTAGCTGGCAAGATGAGTTATAAAGATTGACAGGAGCTCTGTGGTCCAATAATATTCAGGAGGCCACACACAGTGTCCTTTCTAATAATACAGAATAAGGTTCAGGTCATAGATAAATCACAGAAAAGTTCATTATGAGCGTTCCTTGCAGCATATTGGATTAGTAAATTTGATGAATGCATAACTCATTATGCTTTAATAATTTTCCTATTTGTGGGTTGGACTTTAAAAATATTCCACTAAATCCAGATCAAATTATTCTGTTCCTCTACAAATATGTAACTCATCCCTATACTGTACATGGATTCATGAGAAACTGCAAGCTGAACTATTACTTTTGAACAGCAAGTGAAATGTACTAGAAAACTAGCAAACAAATGTACTAGAGGAGGGGTCCCCAACCCATGGGCCACAGCCCATTACCAGGCCATGGCCTATTTGCAACTGGCCCATGCGAGCAGTGGGCCAGCACACACACACACACACACACACACACACACACACACGTGTGTGCCCAGATCAACTTGCATAAGTCAAGCTGTGCATGCATGTGTGTGTGTGCCGGCCCACCGCTTGCGCAAGTTGAACAGTGTGCATGTGCATGCCAGCCCACCTCTTGCGCAACCCGGTTCCCCCCCCCCCATTGAGCAACCAAGCCACAAAAGTTGGGGACCGCTGTACTTGAGTAAGTTTTCTTAAGGTCCACCTTATCCTTTAAAATACCCCTTGGATTAAGGTGAGGAGTACCCAAAAGTAAATCCATTTAAAAAAAAAAAAAAAAGAGCAGAGAGAAAGTAGTTTTCTCTAACCCATTTCTGGATTATTCTAGCTACATGACAAGCTTTACTATTATGCTCTAACTGCAGTTAAGTTATTCAGACCATTTGTTCAATCTTTCTGGAGGAGTTTATTCTCTCTCATCAAATTTGCGTTTAATCAAAGCAAAAAACCACCAATTCCTTTTCTCAAAAGATTTACTTGTTGAAATTCCGTATGCTCTACAGCAGTTAAAATGCGCTATTAGGAATCCTCTTCTGCCCCCCCATAGTGTAGATGCTTTTATAATCTCATTTCTGCCCCTGCCCTCCTTTCTCATTCTCTTGGAATGAATTTTTATTTCATAAAACTCTTAGTAACTGCTCATCAATTGATGCTGTTGATTGCACAGCTAAAGATATCCATTGGTAAAGTAAGCCATTTTAGCTCTCCCTGAAATACAATTCTGTACAAGAGCTTCTTCCTATCTCCCAAGGTCACTTCCACATACCATCACATCCCAACTGCAATTCAGTAAACAACAGATTCTTGTGACTCGTGCTGTCGGGGAAAAAAAAGTGATCTGCATTCATAACACATCAGGATCCTCCTGAAACAGAATCATTAGAGGATTGACTGAAAATGCCTCCATCTTCATGATTTTAGTTTAGAGCTCTTTTAATAAGAAACAGAAAAATAATTTTTGAAGTGAGCTCTTTTGCTACCTGTATTTACTGCTCTACATAATCACCACCATTCGCTACATTCTTCCAAAATGCACAAATTTCTTTTTTTTATTATTAAAAAGTTTTATAAATTTTACAAAGAAAAACATAACAATACAATAACAAAAAACCACATATACAAAAAGAAAAAAAACTAAACATTATACAACAAAAACCCCCTCCCCCAACCCCCACCCAAACACCCCCCCTTCCCCCCCCTGAGCTTCCCAAAGCAGGATATAGGCTTAATTAAAAAAACAGTTAAGAAATTATATTTATAGAAAAAAAGAAAGAAAAAGAAAAAAAAATATAGCATTAACATATATATATATATATATAAAAATAAAAATTATGAAAAAGCTATATGATATTTTTTTATATCCAATTTAAATTGTATAAATTTTATCCATTTATCCCAAACAGCAAGAAATTTCTCTTGCGTTTGTTCCTTTAAAAAAGCCGAAATCTTTGCCATTTCCGCCAAATAAGACACTTTAAGAAACCATTCCTGCAATGTAGGCAAAGATTCCTTCTTCCAATATTGTCCTACTAACAGCCTCGCAGCTGTAATCAAATTTAACATCAATATAACCTCCTTTGTATCACAGTCAGTAACTATACCCAATAAAAATAATTGCGGAGTAAATTTTACCCTCCTTCTAAAAATTCTCTGGATATTCCACCATATCTTAATCCAAAATGCTTTTATCTCTCTACACGACCACCAAATATGATAATAGGTAGCATCCGTAAAAACAGCACCAACATAATCCTTAAAAAAATCCAAAAAAGAGAAAGAGAAAAAAGCCAAAGGAAAAATCCAGTACCAAAAGCAAAAATATCAAAAGCAAAATCATTAAAATCCAGTCCTTTAAAAATAAAGAAAAACTAAAGAGGGAAAAAAAGAAACTCCGACACTTTCAAAACGCCATCTTAATTCCTCTCTCCGTACCAAAAAAAAAAAAAGAACAAAGGAGAAATAACCAAAACCTAACTAAAAAAAAAAGAAATAAAGCCCTAAACTGTAAAAAGAAAATCCTTTAATCCGCTCTGTCCGTTTTAAAAATTACTCACCAGGACGCTATATTCACGGAGATAGAGGCCAAAATGCACAAATTTCTTAAAGTCATCATGAAAAAAACTGCTCTTATCTCCTCAATCACATCCTGACATTCATTTCACCTCTTCCACTTCGAAACAAGAATTCACCAGTGTTTAGAACAAAAAGGAATTTTTGCTGTAACCCGACAGCCACTCAGGAGGCAACTGTGAAGTTGGATATCATCGTCCTAACCCAGCTGCTATACATCGTGAATTTCTTTCTATATATCATAAAAAACTCTTGTGTCTGTAACCTTTAATTGGGCAAAATGGTGCATGGTAGGACAAAACTTTTTCAATCAAGATACTTCAAACAGGCTAACTTACAGGATGCATCCAAAATCTATGACCCATGGCTCCTGTGGAATTGAAATTTGGCAAATTTTATCTAATACTTTATGATATAATTATCATGAAGAATTTTATCACATAAGGTAAAACACTGCCTATAGTCAACTCCTGATGTTTGACTATGCTATAGAGTTCAACATGGGCTACTTTCAGGACAAATACATCTTCAAATATCTCCCTGAATTTTAAAGAACTTTTCAAGTACATTATTGTTAAGCCATTCTGGTAACAAAATATCTCAGAAGTGATGACCCAGTAAAGTGTTATGGGTTGCCTAGTATTTTCCCAAAACTGAATAATTTGAACATATCTTGGTTCAAATGGAGAGAGGAGAAAATATTGTCCAGACTTGGTTGACAAGACAAGGTGGAATTCTTTTGTGACAGCTTTAAGAAATAATACCTTTATTTTATATTTCCCACAGTAAACAGAAATGCAATAGCCAACTTTCCTTTAGTACTGCTTTATCATGATATGGATAGTTTCATGTTAAAAGCACTGCCTAAGTGTGGTGAGGGAAGCGGGAGGATGACAATCTTGGCTATCACTGCAGGATGGCAAACAGTTAACTAAGATGAAGCAACCATCTAGAAGATCCATTTCGTCTTCTAAGTAGCCAGCAAACCTAAGGTCTTCTACCTCTTGTATTTACTGGAGGAGGGAGGTTTCCTGGCCTAGACCGAAGACACCACTTGCGTAGGTTAGTACAGTGCAAGATTTGTGGGAAAGTTAAAAACAAACACCTCTGGGTGCTCCTAGTCAGCTTTTATAGCCAGACAACACAGCAACCCTTTAAGAAAAGTGGTGGTGAAGATGTACAAGTCTGCACCATGTTGCTAGGTAGGAGGAGGGAAGTAAGACTGTATGTTGAAGGGGGCAGCTTGGCTTTCTCTCATGGTAAAGCCAGTCTTCTGCTCCCTGAGGAAAA